CCACCCTTGTCAGAACAAGAAGTGTGGAATGCGCAATGCTGGTGGAGTGTTTCTTCACTACCGCACTTACTTAGAAACGACGAATTTCTCAAAAATTCTGCAACAAAGTCTTTGCTGGGAGGTGTTTAATCACCAACTGGATATTTCCGATCTTGCTGCCAGAGTATTTCAGCACCCACCGATGACCACCTGCATCACATCTGAAGAAATTCCTGTTCGGGATCATTTTTCTACTGACGAAGAACATTCAAAGAGTTGTGATAGTTCTAACGTTGAGAAGTAGCTTAACTCAACATTGCGCATTTCTGGATCTTTTGCGATAAATGTTTCAAGGAAAGTATGTTTTATTTTTTTCTAATAAAACTAACTTTTCCAGATGCCAACATTTTTTAAAAATATTTTATTATTCTCTGAATAAATTGCGTTATCAAGAATTCCTAATCCCAATATAGCTTTTATTTGCATAGCAAGAAGACGCTAAATAAATTCATTTCTTAGGAGGTAAGCAAATGTTTGCACTAAATCAATTAATACATTTGTATATGTGTACTGTTCTAATTGTTTTTTATTAAGGTTCAAATAATAACTTTTTAGTATATTCGTATATCAAATTTATTTAAATAGTACGAGGGTTGCTATTGATATTTCTGGCCTAATAATGAAAAAACAAATATGTAGGATCGAAATTGGTTTTATTGTTTTTCAAAATATTCTCCATGATGATCAATACACTTTTGCATGCGTTTGAACCAATTTTCAAAGCACTTTTTCCAGTCCGATTGAGGTAACTCCAAAACATGCGTTTTGAATGCATCAACCGCTTCTTCGGGGGTCGAAAATCGTTGTCCACGTAATTTATTTTTGATGTGTGGGAATAAGAAGAAGTCATTGGGTGCCAAATCAGGGCTGTACGGCGGATGACCCATCAGTTCGATCTTTCGCTCCGTCAGAAATGCCTTTGTTTGAGTCGATGTGTGAGAGCTCGCATTGTCATGATGAAGAATGATTCGCCTGTTCTTCTGCTTTTTTCGAATTTCTCCGATGACTTCTGGCAAACAAATGGTCGTGTACCATTCAGAATTGACCGTCCTGCGTTGCTCTAACGCCACTGTTGCCACATGACCGTTAATGCCGAAGAAACAGGCAATCATTTGTTTCGATGTGCTTCTTCCTCGAACAACTTTTGTTGGTTTTGCCTCGTCTTGGAAGACCCATACAGTTGATTGCTGTTTTGTTTCCGGCTCATATGCATAGATCCATGATTCGTCACCTGTGTAGATGTTATACACAGCCTTTGATGTACCTTGAACGTATTTTTCCAACATTTCCTTGCACCAATCGACACGAGCCTTTTTTTGAGCGTTTGTCAGATTATGCGGGATCCAACGCGAACAAATTTTTTTTACGCTCAAATGTTCATGCAATATTTTATTGATGCTAGTCATACTAATGTCCAAAGACGCCTCTATCTCACGGTATGTCACATGACGATCTTGCTTTATCAGTTCACGCACAGCATCGATCTTTTCTGGCACAACAACGGATTTTGGACGACCTGCACGGGATTCGTCCTGGATCGAACATCGACCACGATTAAATTCGTTATACCAATTTTTTACAGTGCTGTAGGATGGCGCTTTATCGCTGAATAAAGAATTAAGTTCATCGAAGCACTCTTGTCTTGACAATCCACGTCGAAAGTTATAAATATTATTCCTAGTAAAATTTTCGGAATGGAAGTAGTTGTGTTTTTTTTCATATTATACCCACTTTACTGTCAACAACACAAATGAAGCTATAATGGTAAATCGTCTGCTGAATTTATGTTTAAAAATATCAAACTTTCGATTAAAATCGTCTGCGGTCACCTAGCAACACTTACTGTTGCCAAAGAAATATAAATAGCAACCCTCGTACATAGGTTCATGATTTTACTTTTCACTGTTTGTGCATGAAATCATAGATTATCTTTCTTTATATTTATGAAATTAATAAGACTTTTATACTTTTTAAAATTGTAAGTCGAAGTTTCGAATTCTTTAGAATTTCAAACAACTTTATTTTCTTTCAAAAATAAATTACAACCTAATATATTTATTAAAGAAATAATCGTATTTAATAAAATAAATAATGCATTTAATTTCGAGAAAAAATGGTAGGAATTCTGAAAATAACCTTAGATCAAAATACGCCATCATTTAGGGTATGTTTATTCAAATGAATAATTTGAAATGGCATATAATCTTATATAAAGGTATGAAAAAACATGTAATCCATATTAAACGAATTATAAAAATATTATTAAACAATCTTTTTTTATATCCTGCGAAGAATAAGGAAAAATCTGAAATGTAAATTTTTTTTCTTTCAAATTAAATACTTTTGATAGTTTTTCAAACAAGATGACGATCCCCGTCGGCCGAAGACTCTGCATGTACAAAATGGTGACTGATGCACGCTAAAACTTCTGTGGTTACAAAGTCCTCCAAGTTCCCATAGCAAATCAAAACCTCTGGGGGTACTGGATCGGAGATTGAATGTGCTATGGTTCAACGTTAAAATTACGTTAAGCGGATGGATGGATGGTGGGTCAATGTGTCCATCCTGTAAATAAACGAGATGTGACGTATGTATGCCTCCGAATCATCCTCTGATGTTTCTCAAACCATCGCCAGGTACCCATTATGCAGCTCTAGGGTGGCGTAATTAAAAGTACCGCATAGAGAATACAAAAAAAGCATGCTGAAGGATAAGAATGCGATACTCGTCTTATAATTATTTGAACAAAAATAAACAAATTTCAATAATCATGTACTCGTTCATTTAACATGATTTCAAATGCAGAGTATTACATGAAACTTTAAAACTGCTCAGTAATGAAATCAAGTTTAATGATAATGGTTTTGCGCCAGACACGGAAATATCTCAAGAGTTAGGGGGGGGGAGCTCCCTCTCTAACAGCATATATAGACACACATATATATGTACGTATATATAGCATAATAAAGGCAAAAGGATCAAAAGAAACTATGGAAAAACGAAAAAAATTAAGAAAAACAATAGATTTTATTTACTGCGCCTAAGCTGCAAAATTATATACTTGCAGCTTATTTTATGAGTTCTATAGAACTCATGAAATAAGTTAAAAATATAGAAAATACATGGAAAGTAATGTAATAAGGATTAATGAAAAGAGAAGAAAAAAAATTATTAAAACACTATATTTTTGAATATATAAAATTTTTTTTATGGTGTTTAAAAAAAATGTTAAAAAGCCAGAAAACAAAAAACTGAGAGAATATAATTTAATCATCAACTCATACTATTATATCTACAAAAAAAGGAGTGCTTTCTAATATTATTTTAATATAGTCAAAGCAAAATATATCAATATAATAGTTAGAGGAGCACCCAAAAAAACTGAAACGAAAATAGAACATATCAAGAAAAAGTATACGAAATAAAACATATCAAGCAGAAAATAGTAAATAAAATGCAAGAAAAATACAGAATATACATTTTATCATTATTATTTACCATTATTTTTATCATTATTATTTTATAATTCTTATTTATAGGTTACGTTTTGTATTTTTTTACTGTATTTTTCTTGCATTTCATTTTCTGTACATTATGTCATTATTATTTATCATTAATATTTTATCATTCGTATTTATTGATTAAATTTTGTATTTTATTCTGTATTTTTTAAGAATTTTTTATTTTTATTTTTCGCTTAATATGTTTTATTTCGTATATTTTTTACTTAATATATTCTGTTTTCGTTTCAGTCTTTTTGGCTGCTCCCAACACTATTGATAGATTTTGCTTTGGATAATATTAATATAATATTAGAAAGCACTCCTTTTTTGTGGATATAATCGCGTGAGCTGATGACGAAATTATATCTTTTCCTTATTTTGTTTTCCGGCTTTTAATAATTTTTTTTAAATAAAATATCTTTTTAAATATTTTTAAAAATATTTTATTTCAAAATTTTTTTCCTTCTTTTCTTTATTAATCTTTATTACATTATTTTCATGCTTTCTCTGTATTTTTGAGAATAAAGAATATATTTTAGAAATCAAAAATTGGTGATCAAAATGCGCAACAACTGGCGTGGAGCAGAGTTTTGCATGTTTTCACTATTAGCGTGTGGACAGTCACAGAAGAAGAAAGTACGTTGGTTTCTTTCTTGATTTTCAAATCGATTAAAACTTTTAAGTTAGGAAACTATATGGAACTGAAGATTACATTGAACATAGTTCTAAAGGAAAGCATCATGGGAATTTAAAAAAAATATTTTTGACAGTTAAATAAGAAAAATATTAAGAAGGGGGAAAATAACGTAATACATTCCTATACAACTGAGAAGTGGAGGAGAGAGAAAGGTCAAGACGGAGCTCAAACCTCGCAGACTTCGAACGAGCTAGGAAGAGAAAAATGACGTCACTTTGACGTCACGTTTCTACTCCTAGGGAAAACCTGAAACCTCGCGCTTTCGAACGGATTTTGCTAACGGGCTGCGATCTTCATTTTTCCTCCNCTACGGGGGTGAGGGGAGGGATGTATAATTGTTGCAGTTTTAACCTAAAGATCTTTTGTTTAAAATTCCGAAACAAATAAATGTTCTATTTTTTAATTGCAAATTCAATGACACAAATATTGAGTAAGAAATTGTAATTTTAGAAGGTTCTGAGTGCCTTTATTTATTAAATGCAACCCGGCTTAATAAGCCCCTAGACCCCCACCAGTTCCGAGGTTTTTGGCTATCAATCTAAAAAAAGTCTTTGTTGCACAATAAATTAATTTATATTTATTATAAATATATCGTTGTCTTCCACTCCGCTGTATACCAGACGTTTCACATGGTTTGTCCTTAAATAGCTTCTGACGATTAAGCATGTGCAGGCAAATCAAAGTTGAACTTGTTTGCTTATAGCTTTCTTATTCTGTTATCTAATTGATCAAGCCTCCTTGTACTTTCTTCAGTTTGGCAGGTCTACTTTTTTGACAACTAAACTTCTCTGCAAGCAAATTATCCGTTCTTTCTTTCGAAATTATTAATTTAACAATATTATTCTCACTCGATGAGGTTATGATTTGCGCTCCGTGTATTAAATAAGTGAAAATAAATAAGATGTCCACCAAGTAAACTGCTGGTTTTAATAGTATTGTAGATGCTGTTTAGATTTATGTTATTTTACAAAAGTTCACTTTTTGTGTACTATTGATTTTATTGAATCGTTACCTGTTCTCATATTTTAAAATGAAGTTATTGAAACCTAACTGGATCTCTCACGATGGTAATTGGGAATCTTCAGTTGCTTACAATTGTTCCGATAGTTTTTAATATTTTTTATTGTTGTCATTTGTACCTTCAATTAGATAGCCTGACATTTAGTATTATGGGAATTGCTTTGTTTACATTGCCTATCACGAATAATGTTGTCAGTATGCCGTCCCGGCTTTTTTTGTTCTGGTGGTTGTATCTGTAATATTAGCTCTTCTCTTATGCTCTATTTATAAAATCTTTTGCTTTATTTGTATTTTTGTTACTTATGATTTTTAAAAACAAACATTTGAGGTATGTTTATTAAATGGATCATTTCTTTACACTTTAGCTTGTTAGTTTTAATAATGGAATACATTATGTTATCAAAAAAATACAGAATGGAAATTCTCCGTAGATATAAATTTAATTTTCCTTGCAGAGGGATAGAAATGTCTTATACTTATAAAAAACGTTATTTTTATCTATATGCTCATCTATGATGATAACAATGGAAAACTGTTAGAAGATCAATATGTTTATATGCTGTACAGTGATTAGTTTTAAACTGAAAAAAAAGGAAAATTCGTTCAATAGTATATTTTTAAAGTGTATTTATGAAGTAGTTAATAATATATTTATAAAGTAATTATGAATTCAGCTTAACATAAATTATATTTTATGATTAAAAGATACACTTATCTTCTTTTCTTGCCATTAGGAATAAATTTTAAGTTTTTTAGAGCTGTGACGGTTTTAAAGTAATTTAAAGTAGAGTAGAGGGTTGACCTGTCATGTCAAAAACTTTTCTTTTAGTTAGCTCTTATAATAGCTGACAGTAATTAATTACACCTCTCCCAAATTTTTCCTTTTAAGCATGCTTTTAGTGTCTTGTACTAATTTAGAACCTTAAATGCATAGTGGTTGTATTTGTGGTTAATATCCATTGGTCTGTCCAGGCCGAACTTGCTACCGTTTAGCGGAACCTTCACAATTTCAACTTAAAGAAAAACGGTAGTTTACAAAATACTTTTTCTGAAAATTTTATTTTTGTATCTCATAAGAAACGATAAATCCATATTTTTACCGCATTTTTGTGTTGATTTTTTAATATAATTTTTAATTTTCACAAATTATGTCTAAATTTTCACAAAATAGATACCTATCAGAAAAACCTAGACAGACCCCTGATATCTTGTCCAGAGCCACCCATAAAAATTTTTTCAGAGGGGGGGATATAACAAGGGAAAATATTCATTAAAATAAGTTAAAATTTTATGAAAAAATTTTAAAGGTAGGTATCAGATATTTTCTCAGTAATTTAAATAAAATCTTACTTAACAAGCACAAATTTTGACAAGAAAAAAAAGTACATTTTCAACAGCTTTTAAATTTTATAACAAGAAAATCTTGCTATATTTATATATGTTATGTTAATTAAATCTATACATAAGCACAAAAGCAGAAACTGTGAGCATTAGTGTTTTTTAATTAACACATTATGTATATTTTTTATATCTTCTAATTAACAAAAAAATATTAATTATAGCATAGAATTGAAAAATACAACTTTTGCATCTTTTTTATGAGAATCAGAATAGATTCAATGGATGGTTAGCTGTATAAAGAAAAAAATTTAAAAAGTGATCTTTATATGATTAACTATATTGGTTAAAATTTGTTTGTAACAAAACTTTTGCTGGTAACTAATTTTTATTTATTTTGATATCTTAGCTTAAAAAGTTTGTTATCCTATATTGTAATTGTACTATTTGTAATAGGACTTGTGCTATGGGCCGTTCAATTTGTAAGTCTTTTTAATTTTATGTTAAATATAAAAAAACAAAAAAGCTCTGAAAATATAGCAACCACTACACTTTATTAATGTTATTTCTTTTAATCAATTAATGGCTCACTACCTCTTAGAATTTAAAAAAATACAGAAGAATCTTATAAATGATAAAATTACAACTTAATTTAAATACAATCTCAATCTTAAAACTTCCTAAAATATAAAGCTTGTTCACACAACAACATATTACAACATTAAGGGATTCACCGGAAGTTTTCAATATTCCTTTTTATGGCTCTAGTATAATTTTATTGTTTATATTTAGTTAATCATAATTATTTACTCTTGATTAAGACATTAAAAATGTGATTTATAATTATTTAAAATGAAAGAAAAATTAATAACTGTTATAGCCAACTAAGATTTTTTATCAAATTGATTTCCAGAGGATACAAATGATCCCCTTGTTTCATATCCCTTTGTGTTGACAATACATAAATAGTACTTTAATATGTGATATTTTTCAGGTCATCCAATTTTTTCTGTAGATATACATCCAGATGGGTCACGGTTTGCTACAGGTGGACAAGGTATTTTGTTTTGTTTAAATTATTTTAAATCTACTTGATTTGTGTAATGAAGTGAAAAATTTTAACTTGCATAAAAATATTAATGATATTTCAATTCAATAAATGTAAAGTTTTCAGTGTTATTTAAGAATAGAATTAAAAAATATTTTATTAATTTTAAAGAATCTTATATGAATGTTAATATACATGACCAACAGCCGAAAAGCAATAGGAAAACCGTGTGAATTTGCTACTAAAGGGGTGTGAATCGAATATCCGTGTAAAAAAGTTATTCAGATGTGTAATTCAAAGTACATCAGTGACTTAATAATGTCCAATTCAGGATTTTGGGGATTTCAAAAAACCATGTAATAATCTGTAGTTGTTGAGAAACTACAAGAATTTCTGATGACACCTGCGCAAATTCTAACAAACATGATAAAAAGTCGATTGGTGATAGCTTGCATCAGCTTTTCTAGATTCATGAATCATAATTTTGTACTAAATTAAATTTAAATATGTAAAAATTTATTCCTATAAATACAGAAAAGATGATCGATAAACCATGTGAATTTACTACAAAAGCAGCACAAATCGAACATTATGTGTGAAAGTGTCATTAATCAAATGTGCGATTCATAATTCACCTGCTGTAATAATAATCTATGTAAAAAAAAAAAAAAAGCTATGCAATCAGCAAAAAACCATGTGAAAGTTTGTAATTGTTACAATAACTATTTAGAAAATTAACAACAATTTAGATGATTTAACAATAACTATTTAGAAAATGAAAAACAATTTAGATTTATAACAAAATCTATGCAAAATTGAGCCCTTCATAAGGCGATAGTTTCAAGGTGCCATGCAAAACTTACGAGACAAAATAATAATTTCTTATTTCCCAAAAATAGAAAATTATTTCAAAAATTTTATCTCAGCAAAATAATAATAAAATTTGTTCTTATCCATTGCAATCCCTGTAAATATTGAGTGAAATTGTGTACATTTTGGAATTTTACTTCAAAATTTTTCAGGTGGCGCGGATTCAAAGTTTTGCCAAAGGTGCAATCCAGTTAATAAATTTTTGAGTAATAAAATAGACTATAGCACATTTTCCCAATTATTAGAACTCTGACAATAGCCTATGTTTTATAATTTTTCTAAAGGTACAAGGCTCTCTTGAATAAGCATAAACAATATCAGGATAATTAGAAAATATTCAAATTTTATCCGATTGCCCTGGTAAAATGCTTGATGCTAACTTGGCAATTAGCATCATGCCAGACTTTTTCAATTAGCATTTTACTATTTTATCAGTTTATAAATTTGTTCCGAATAAAATGCAGTTTCTAATTCTATTACACAACATTCATAGACAGCTGCCCACACCTCAGCTAATCATGAATCCTTTCATCACTTAGACAAGGCTTTCTCTGTATTTATAAATTATATTGTTTGCTCTAAATCACTTGATTTTTATTTAAAAAAGGAATCACCAGTATTTATCACCCTTTTTTTAAAAAAATAATCTTATATTTAAATCTAAAATAATTATTTTGGAATGTATTTAAATTCTTAAGGGTATGATTTTCATTAGTCAAATTTCATTGATATTGAAGGTGTAATGCAGAAATGTTATTAGAAAGGGATGTATGTAAATTAGTATTTAAAGTAGACTGTATGAAGTTTCTTCAAAGTAGAGTGATAGATGAAATAAATCAGAAACTAAATGTGGATAAAATTGATATGAAACTTTTAAGTTATAATTTTTCATTAGTAGCACACAAAATAATTTTCTGTTTAATAAGTATATTAAAATTAAGCCTGTTTAGTTTCACATTTATTTAAAAACTAGTATATTTAAAAGTGATTAAATATGTAGTTTACGTATAGACATAATGAAGGAAGCCTTGTTCCGCCATGAGTTATTTAGAGTAATTTTTTTTGGTGTTTCCTGATTTGAATTAACTTATTTTTTATCTGATATCTGACTGACTAATTAGGACTCCATATTCAAAAATTTATTTGGATGTTAAGCTTGAGTATAGACAACTAACATGTTCTCTAGAAAAAAATTATTATTTTTTTTTTTTTTAAATTCTATTTTGAAGAAACTGTTTACCATGTTTAATATTACATAATAATTACTTTCTTTTAGTTTTGTAATATTAAACACATTGCCTCTTTTAAACTTGCAAACTTACTCAGTGCAACATTTAAATTCCTGAGATATGTTACTTTGAGCTCTGAAGATGAAAATTAGAATTTTTCCATTGTGTTACTGATTGATACAAAAGTTTCTATTGAATTTATTATTTATTTTCATAATTTTTTTTCTAATTTTTTTTTTTCATTCATGCTAAAATTTCCACAGAAATAAGAAAATATGTTTTCATTATAATTTCTAAACTGTCTTTGAAAATTGTAGGTATGGACACTGGTCGAATTGTTATATGGAACATGTCTCCTGTGGTCGAAGAAGCAGATGAAAAAGATGAAAACGTTCCAAAGGTTTTGTGTCAAATGGATAATCATTTAGGTAATTATGATTTATATATACCAGTATAGTATAGCACAAAATTAACAATCTCCACTTGCCACAGAGTGGTGACTAACTGTAAAAAATGGGCAATAAAAATTTGTTAATTGCTAACTGATTGTATCTTTTTGCTAAATCATGTGCTACAATACACATGTTTTCAAATCCTCGCGTTATTTATTCAGGGAAACTGTAATCCTAGGCATGTTCAGACAAAATTTCCGAGGAACTCAATTATCAAAGGTTTATCAACTATTTCAGAATAACAAATAAATTTCTACTTCAAGAAAGTAGGAAATTTTTCTTCATTTTAGAAATAATTTGAATTAATTAGTCTTTTAATGGTTTGCAATTTTCAGTTCTTGAAAAAGTGGTGACTGTTAAAAATGCTGTTTTAATTGAATAGTATGTGTTTTTTAATTTTTTTTCTGTTTAAAATAGAAATGGTAAAATACATACATACTTTTATACTAAAATATTTTTGTTGAATTCAAAGTTTTTAAATTAAATCCTTTTATTGAAAATTGTGTCCTGTGGTCTGGTAGTGAAAAATATTTAGATTTTTGTGACAATGACAAGGTTCAAATGATATTGGTTCTAATGATATTATTGATTCTAATGATATTATTGATTCTAATGATGTTATTGATTCTAATGATATAATGGATGAGGTTCTAATAGTATAATTGAATTAATTACAATTTTCTTTTAATGGTTTACAATTTTCAGTTTTTGAAAAAGTGGTGACTGTTAAAAATGCTGTTATAACTGAATAGTATGTGTTTTTTAATTTTTTTTTCTGTTAAAAATAGAAATAGTAAAATTCATGCACACTTTTATACTAAAATGTTTTTGTTGAATTTAAAGTTTTTAAATTAAATCCTTTTATTGAAGCTTGTGTAAATTGTGTCCTGTGATCTGGTAGTGATAAATATTTAGATTCTTGTGACGATGACAAGGTTCAAATGATATTGGTTCTAATGATATTATTGATTCTAATGATGTTAGTGATTCTAATGATATAATGTATGAGGTTTTAATAGTATAATTGAATTAATTACAATCTTCTTTTAATGGTTTACAATTTTCAGTTTTTGAAAAAGTGGTGACTGCTAAAAATGCTGTTATAACTGAATAGTATGTGTTTTTAAAATTTTTTTTCTGCATAAAAGAGAAATAGTAAAATACTTGCACACTTTTATACTAAAATGTTTTTGTTGAATTTAACGTTTTTAAATTAAATCCTTTTATTGAAGCTTGTGTAAATTGTGTCCTGTGGTCTGGTAGTGAAAAATATTTAGATTCTTGTGACGATGACAAGGTTCAAATGATATTATTGGTTCTAATGATATTATTGGTTCAAATGATATTATTGATTCTAATGATGTTATTGATTCGAATGATATAATGGATGAGGTTCTAATAGTATAATTGAATTAATTACAATCTTCTTTTAATGGTTTACAATTTTCAGTTTTTGAAAAAGTGGTGACTGCTAAAAATGCTGTTATAACTGATTAGTATGTGTTTTTAAAATATTTTTTCTGCATAAAAGAGAAATAGTAAAATACTTGCACACTTTTATACTAAAATGTTTTTGTTGAATTTAACGTTTTTAAATTAAATCCTTTTATTGAAGCTTGTGTAAATTGTGTCCTGTGGTCTGGTAGTGAAAAATATTTAGATTCTTGTGACGATGACAAGGTTCAAATGATATTATTGGTTCTAATGATATTATTGGTTCAAATGATATTATTGATTCTAATGATGTTATTGATTCGAATGATATAATGGATGAGGTTCTAATTTTATAATTGAATTAATTACAATCTTCTTTTAATGGTTTACAATTTTCAGTTTTTGAAAAAGTGGTGACTGCTAAAAATGCTGTTATGACTGAATAGTATGTGTTTTTAAAAATTTTTTTCTGCATAAAAGAGAAATAGTAAAATACTTGCACACTTTTATACTAAAATGTTTTTGTTGAATTTAACGTTTTTAAATTAAATCCTTTTATTGAAGCTTGTGTAAATTGTGTCCTGGTAGTGAAAAATTGTTAGATTCCTGTGATGATGACAAGGTTCAAATGATATTGGTTCCATGATATTATTGATTCTAATGATATTATTGATTCTAATGATGTTATTGATTCTAATGATATAATGGATGAGGTTCTAATAGTATAATTGAATTAATTACAATTTTCTTTTTATGGTTTACAATTTTCAGTTTTTGAAATAGTGGTGACTGTTAAAAATGCTGTTATAACTGAATAGTAAGTGTTTTTTAATTTTTTTTTCTGTTTAAAGTTGAAATAGTAAAATACATGCACACTTTTATACCAAAATGTTTTTGTTGAATTTAAAGTTTTTAAATTAAATCCTTTTATTGAAGCTTGTGTAAATTGTGTCCTGTGGTCTGGTAGTGAAAAATATTTAGATTCTTGTGACGATGACAAGGTTCAAATGATATTATTGGTTCTAATGATATTATTGGTTCTAATGATATTATTGGTTCTAATGATATTATTGATTCTAATGATATAATGGATGAGATTCTGATGGTATAATTGAATTAATTAAAATTTTTTTTTAATGGTTTACAATTTTCCATTTTTGAAAAACTGGTGACTGTTAAAAATGCTGTTATAACTGAATAGTATGTGTTTTTAAATTTTTTTTTCTGCTTAAAATAGAAGTATTAAATTTACATTCACGCTTTGATACTAAAATATTTTTGTTGAAATTAAAGTTGTGAATCTTTTTATTTAAGCTTGTGTAAATTGTGTCCGGTGGTCTGGTAGTGGAAAATATTTAGCTTCTTGTGGCGATGACAAGGTTCTAATGATATGGCAAATCGGAAGGTAAGTTGATATTTATTTATTTTTATTGTATTTTGGTTTTTGAATTAAACTTATCAAAGTTTTCTTTTGCCTTGTTGGTCAGTGGTACGATTTTTGTTTTAATAGTTTCAAAACTATTATAACACCGACTGTTTTGCTATGAATTGTTCTACATGTGCTTTTTTTCTAAATAATTTGGCTCCAAATCGTTCTTAAAGTAGGTTAAACTTTTTAGAAAGCAGTAATTTTATGAGTTTGGATTATTGATAAATTTATGTGCAACATCGATAAATTTATCTGAATGAAATAAGAAACTTGACCTTTAATTATATGTGCAGCTTAATCAAAGTTATTGCTTGAAATAGCTCTAAAAATATCTTTTTCCAAAGTGTGGAATTTCTACTCTGTAATTTAAAGGATTGTGCTCTAAACAGTTTCTAAACTTCTACCACACCATTGATGTTTTTCTTAATATATTGTGTTAGCAAAATTTTTTTTCTTATCTAAAATACTAACCCAAAAAATAGGCTTCTTCCTGTTTGGAAGTAATCAACTATTCTCAATATGAAAAATGACATATTTTATTAAATGAGACTATAGAAAGTTTGTATTTGAATTATTAATTTTAAATATTACATCCAGGGTTCTTTCTAGGCAGGGCTTTTGCAGGGCGGGCCTCTCTGTTTGCCTTTTTGAATGAAAGATGAATTTCAATTTTGAGCTATCACTTTTTGAAGTGTTGTTTGATAATTTGATGATTCCTGAAATTATTATTTTGCAACCCTTTTCACACAGTTTTTTTGTTTCAAATTCTGATGTATTTAATGCTATGATGTATTTTTTACTATATGCTATTATTACTATATACTATAATTATATATAATATTATAATTAATTTTATGATAACATTCAAAGTTTGAATTTGAGTTTTCACTATTAAATGTGTTTGAAATATTAAATGTGTTTATGACGATTCTGTCACAATTTCTCATTGTTGACTGATATTTTTTTTTGGAAGTTATTGCTTGGGAAGTTACCTTTTATACTCCGTTTTTCAAATTCCGATATTTTTAATACAGTGTTATTATGTCATGCAAATTACGAATTTTTCTTAGCATTATGACATGTTCGATTTGTGACAATTCTATCACAGTTTTAATGGTGTTTATCATTTTACTATCACCATTTCACAAGGTTTTTCGAATTATGATATTTTTAATGCATTGTTCTTATGATGTGCAAATTTCAAGTTTGCATTATCATTTTTTTACATATTTAACTCGTTGCGATTCCATAGATAAGATGACTGAAATAATAGATAAGATAATAGAAAGCTAAGGAATGTAATTCATTTATAACTGACAGTTGTTAACTAACTGCCACTTGCTTAATTGTGAGATTATGAAATGATAATACATTATCTTGAATTCTGAAGATTTCACAATGTTTTTGTTCATAGTTTGAAAAGTTATAGTACATATAAAATTTTACTATTTAATGTTTCTTCCTTCTTTTTTTTTTGAAAAATAATTTTTAAAATTTCTTAAATGTGGAAAGGCTTATGTAAACAAAATATTTACTGTTTTATAATTAACTCTATTGTGGGAGACTGAAAAAGTTTTATTGTTTAAAAATGCCTTATTTAAAATAGAAATTGAATTTAAAATTTAAGAGTATTGTAAAAGTTGTATTAAATTTTTTAGCTCTTTCGGATTATCCTGTCGACCTGACAACCCTCTCGAAACTGCGCAAATGATTTGGCGCCATCATAATGAAAAGCAATTTCTGAAATAAACATTCTAAACACATCAAATTTACCAAATAATAATAATATTAAAAAATTGTAACTGTAAAAATATGTAATAAAGTGTAATGAAAAGAATCAAAACAAAGTAAAAACCTCTATTTTTTTTTAATAATTACACATTGAATTATTCTTAAATCTTAACTATATATAATATTATAAATCATTTCGCCAACCAAAATTCCTTGATAACTACAAAAGCGCAAACAACTGCTCTTCAGTGCTAGGCAAACCCCAAATTTGAATGATTTTGCAGCGAAGTAAAAAATATAGTATATTGCAATACGCTTAAGAAAACTAACTTACTCAAGGATTACAGAGTAAATATTATAAAACTTGCAGTTATTGGGGCAGAAGCTACCTATTAGCGATAATATCTGGTTTGATAATAATGGTCGACAGAATAATCCCAAATTACAAAAATAGTTGATGCGATAATCCCAAAGTACCCTTTTTTTAAAAATACAACTGGGGTTCAGGCTGATTCCTCTTGCCCTCTTACCAGAAAAATGAGGTATGTAGGATCATTTTCCTCTTATCTAATTGTAGGTGAGTGGTTGTTTTGGTGCAAAAAATTCTGAGACTTTTTCTAAGTCCAGGATAGTTTTTAAGGAACTAAAGAAAAAGGTTTTTATGCGTTCCCATTTAGGGAGATAGTAAAAATTACAACCTTTTAAGCGCAAAATATCCTGTGGGTTCCATTTACGGTATTTATAACCAGTGTTATTTATTTATTTATTTATTTTTTTTTTTGCATAAAGAATACAACTATATTTTGAGATTGACTATATTTACAATTATATTTTGATTAGTTCTATGTCATCCATTTTGTCAATTTTTTGTTGTTGCATTTCCCCCCTCTGTCTTAGACAAAGTAGGTTTCTTTTAAAATAATGTCTATTCCTATCATTGATCCAATTTTGTGATATTGTAATTTTAGTTACTTTTAGTTTTAATTTATTAAACTTTTAATGAAAATGAAGTAAACCACTTTTTGTATGCAATAGATATGGTCTTGGCTCTACAGCATTTGGAAGTAATGGGAAAATGGGAAACGTGGAACATTGGAGATGTGTTAGTACATTAAGGGGACACTCTGGAGGTATGTATTTTTTAAATGTTTTTATTTTATATTTTTACTAGAGAATATTTTTTTCCTTTTAGAATGCTTGTTATTTCAGTTAGTGTGTATTTCTATATCTTTTGTAATGATTTTTTTTATGAGGGCTATGTCTATTAAATAACTCTAAATAATAATTAGTCTTTTTAAATAAATAAAGGATTCAAATATTTTAAAATTTTAGTCCATTTACTTAAACAGAGCGCTATAATTAAATTTTTTTTTTTTTAAAGTATTTTTAATCATATGCAATTTTATGTTAAGAGAAATACTAAAGAATCAGCTGGTGATGTTTCAGGAAAACTTCAGACTTACTGTTTAATTCTATTTAATACTCTAATGCACAATTTTATCAGCATGTTTGGTTTTAGTTCTGTCTTGAATGACACACTTGAATTAAGTTCACAGTTCGAGTACCGTTCTCTCATGTCATCAAATTCTACTGTTTACTCAATTTGTCAGAAATAAAGCATTGTTACAAGTTTGCTACAGCACTCATATTTGTTTATTTGTAACATATTCAATTTAATTATTTTTGTTTGATATGTTGTAGGCTAATTAAAAAAAACTACGAACTTTGGACTTAATTGATTTAATGTTTATTATCCATTTTAGTAATAACATGCCAATCAAGAATATTTTATTAAAATATTGTTCGTCTTTATTTAGATGTCCTTGATTTATCTTGGTCTCCCAGAGATACTTGGCTGGCATCTTGTAGTGTTGATAATACTATAGTCATATGGAACACATTAAAATGGCAAGGTATTGTTTCTTATTTTTATTCTGTTAAAGGCACATTTGTTTCTTTTCGTTAATCAATAATGATTAACATAATATCTTTGCTCATGATGTTAATTGATTGAAATCCAAAATAATGCTCTATATTCTATTGATATTTACACTTTTGATATTAATCAACATAAATAAAATGTGTGGTAGTTGTTTCTTATTAGGTAATAGAATGTTAATACATTTTTATCTATTTAGGTGCTCCTGTTATTAATTATTAGTACGTATCTTTTATTAAGTTGTTTCAAAACTTAATTAAAACTTTGTGATAAGCCTTTGAAAAGGCTATTACAATAAGCTTTCATTAATCAGGGCTTATTGCAAACAGCCGGAAATTAATCAAGCTCATTGTTTAATGAATGATATGTTTCTAAGTAATCTAAACGTATGTGTAAAATGTTAAGTATGGTTTCTTGAATGAGCTTAAAAAATTGTCAGGCTGATTAGGTTGAATGTTGCTTTTCATATTAGCTTTTAAGTTTTCTTTATTTCAGAATAAAACAGGCATAATATTTTTGTTATTTAAACCAAAAAATTTTTGAAAAGAAATAATTACAGTGGCATCTTTATAGAAGCAGTTTTACAGAATGGAAATATGTTGTGGCATTTTAAATTATTATTTTTTTTTTGGTATTCAAATTATACTTATTTATTAGTTACATAGTATATCATGGTGCATAGTGTTTTTAGAAAGTGCTTAAAGGTGCTTATTTTCGATATTCGTTTTTTAAAAGCCCTTAAAGGTACTTTTTTTCTTTAGGTATTTTTAAATAGTGCTTAATTTTCCTTTTTCCAAAGTGAGATTTTTTTCTTTACCATGTTGATTTTCGTAACGTATTATGCAAAAGCGTTTCACATTGTTCTATTCAACGTTTTCACAATTCATTCAATAATCTATTTTGACCTAACTTCGGTCCATAGTGTATGAAAGCGCCAATCATTTTACATGTTTGATGAAATACTTGTAAGTGTGTCTACTGAGCTGGGTTCGGTGAGATTATTGTACTCTCATGTGCAACTGCTGCATTTTGAACGATATTCTCTTTTTCAGGCTTCATTTTCCACCCTCTGATATCAAACCTAAAGATCTCTTGATCATTTTATAATGATTTATATGATGAGAGCTCATAATATACTTCAAGTGAAGACCAAATTTTGTAGTTTTGCCACTCGGATGTCTGAACAAAGAAAATTGAAATCTTTATCTAAATAAAAGTTACTTGAAAATTGTATAAGCCTTACAAAGCAAAAGTACCGAACAGAAGTAACAGATTTTTATAAATTTTTTTATGCTTAGTAACTGAACTAAATTTTTTATTACTTGTATGAAAGTAATAAAAAAGTTTATGAAAATTTAATCATGAGACCAAGCCCAGTTAAAACCTTTTTTCAGTTCAAATTATAAAACAACAATCATTTCAATTTCTTAAGAAATTTATTCAATTTACTTTTCATTGTTGCCTTTCATTTATTCGAGAATGATATATTAAATGGCTTTATTTAAACTAGCTTGCAATTCTAAACTGTTTAAAAAAAATTGTTTTAATAACCATTATTTGCATTTGAAAAAGTGAATTGGAAGAAACCTGTTTCCTTCTTGATAGCCATGGAAAGAAACTTATATTTTTCATTTTTGTAGAAATCATTGCTGTTCTCAAAGGTCACAGTGGTCTCGTTAAAGGCGTTTCTTGGGATCCTGTTGGAAAGTATATTGCATCTCAGGTAAGTATTTTGTGTATTCAAGTCATATTTTGTATGAGATAAGGTACTAAATTATTTTTTCATTGCAGTCTGATGACAAAACATTGAGGGTGTGGCGTACACACGATTGGCAGCAAGAAGCTGTCATTACTGAACCATTCCTTGAAGTAAGAATTCTTATCTGCTTTCTAATCCTTTATCTGATTGTGTAGAACATGTACAGTGGGCCAAAGGGGAAAAAAAAGGATCACCCTTAATAACTTTTGACCTAATGATCAGAACATCACATTCTGGGACTAAATTTTGATGGCTCGAGGTGGTGACCTCAAATACTCTAATTAATAAGTGTAGACAATATTTTAAGCTACATAATCAGGCGTTAAAATGTACTTTCTCAGAATAAACATGTCATTTTTTTGACGGATTCAAATTTCTGACCCACAAAATATAGGGGTAGCGGCAATCTGGGAATCAAAGGGCAAGCAGAATGGCTGCCCTTCTAAAAACACTTAGGGATGTTTATTCAGAGAAGGTACATTTTGTGTCTGATTTCGTAACTTAAAATATTGTCTGTAAATAGTATTGTAAATAAGTTAGTGTATTTTAAAGTGTAGTGTAAGTAGTTAAGCATATTTAAGGTCATACTCTCGAATCATTAAGAATGAGCCCTAAAATGTGAAAATCTGATCATTGGATCAAAAGTTATTCAGGGTGGACTTTTTTTTTTGTTACAGTGTGCATCTTTAAGTTTTTTAAAAACCCTTTGTTTTTAATGTTTTGTTTAAAAAAAAAAGGCTATTTAAAATTTTTGTAAGAGTAAGAGGTTTAAATCTTTTGACACTTTGAATTAATAATTCTACATTTTGAAATTTTCATGTTATAATAATGATTTTTTCCCCATTAAGCATTTTTAAATTAACTTAAAAGACTGTTATAAAATTTTATAGTTTTTTCAGCAAATTTTCGTTTGTAAGGCAGGAATTGCAGATAGTCTTTCTAATCTGCAGAATCTTTCTTTCTGTATGCATCTTTCTTTCTTTCTTTCTTTTTTTTTTTGAAGTAATGTATCTAGTTTAATTTCTTCATTTATTCACCTTTAATGCTAAAAAAAAAAAAAGGCTCCTCCACTCCTTGGCTCCTTGGAATATTTTCAGATCATTCTATATATCAATTGTTATGGAATGAAACCCCTCTATCCTCACAATATTTGCATTTGTTCTTCTTTTTTGTAAACAAAATAGCATATTTTATCAAAATTGTGTTCATACGTTCTCTGTATTGTAATTTTATTAACTTTTTTTTGTAAAAAAAGGTTAATAGATAATGTAAACAGACCAGTGAAATAGTGTAAGGACTACTTACTGTTGGTCTAAGATAGGTACTCTGCCAGACATTCGTCTGGAGCTGTGGCGGTGACTATGGTAACGAGGTATGATTATTTTGAGTAGGGGTGTGGGGTCCCTCTTAAGGACTGGTTTCGGCTAGAGAAAAGGAGACCTCTTCATCGAAGCTACCCTCCCTAAAATGCTCTCTTGTTTCCATAGCACCAGACTGCCGCATACTTAGTGGCGATCAGAGTACTTATCTTAGACAAACAGTATATCTTTTAGTTTCTAGTCCTGTGGACTAGTGATTTATGCATAATTCATTTTATTAACCTTTTTTTTGTAAAAAAAGTTTTATAGATAACAAAAACAGACCAATGAAATAGTATAAGGACTGGTTATATCTTTGTTTCTAGTCCTGTTGACTAGTTACTAAATTTCTTTTCATTCTACTCCTGTCGCATATCTTTCGCTTCTGAAGTGCTAATATATACTTATGAAATATAGTGTGGATAAATGTTAAGAAGAGTACAAGGAAGTGTGACACTTTGTGATAAAGGTCAAAAATATTGTGAACTAGTGATATTATTTATAGACCACTCCTCATCACATAATTAATAAAAAATCCTGCATTGCCCATGAGAGATGGAGTTACTTGTGTAATTATTAATAGATGGTGTTTTTTTTTCTTTCTTTTCAGTGTGGTGGGACTACCCATGTTTTGCGGTTGAGCTGGTCTCCCGATGGCCGCTATTTGGTTTCTGCCCATGCCATGAATAACTCTGGGCCTACAGCTCAGATTATTGAGAGAGATGGATGGAAAGCCAACCGGGACTTTGTAGGTCATAGGAAAGCTATAACTTGTGTTGTAAGTTATTTTAATCTTGTTTGACTGCTATTCATGGAATAAAAAAATTCCTTTAATGATTTTTTTTTAGTGTAATATGGAAAATTTATTTCATTATAATACTAAAATAACTGCCCACTCTACTGGATTTGGCCAGATTCTCCTGGTCGACTGGTTTAATAAAAATTCTCCTAATTTTTGTACATTTTAGAAAATTTCCTAAAAAAAATCCCTATTATAAATAGAATTTTTGGACAGATTTTTATTGCTTGCTTGAGTATTTAAATAAATATTACTAAAACATAATGAAGCGAGCCTCATTTATAAAAATCAGTTTAAAAATTTTCTTTTGTTCTGAAATGTTCAGTTTATTTTTAAAGTATTTAACTCTCTTTTTAAATTATTTATGAAATCTTTTTACTATTTTTGATGAGTTAAATGCCTATTCAAAATTATGAGTAAATGTATTACATAAGATTTCAAGTTCATTTCATGTTAATCATATGTGGGAAATATTGCCATCTTTTTTATTTTGAAGATTAAAAAAAACCCTAAAATTCCCTATGTATAAAATATTTAGTACATTATGAAACAATTATAAAATTGATTTTATATTGTGAAATCTACTGCATTTTTTTCTTATCCATGCTCCATCCTAAAAGTGTTCTAGTCAATATCTGCTTTCAGGAATTTAAATTTAAGTAAGGGAGGAAATAATGTTAAACTCATTTGTTATGAGTCGTGATTTATGGAGGTTTCATATTTAGCATGGAAATTTTTAATAGAGTATAAGACATTGTTATTTTAAATATCATTAATTAAGTAGCTATGAAAGTACTCTTAAGTATCATTAAGTACCTAGTTATTTTATGTAACAGTGTGGTTAAGGCAGTGATCGGCAAAGTGCGGCTCCAGAGCCGCATGTGGCTCTTTGGCTCCTTAAGTGTGGCTCTGGCACAAATATCCACGGAAGGCGCAATAATATTTTAATTTAAGAAAAACTTGGTAAGAAAACAGCAGAGCAACTTCAGCATTTGTCAAAAATCCTCTTAATGCTACGATAACCGAGTTGAAATTTTCTCTTTTTGAAATTGACATTGGTAGCTTTAAATACAATTGCTGGATTTAAAAAACAAGGAGACATGGCGCTCTAAATTCGAACGTCTTTGTGTTGAATTGGAGAAGAAAAATTTTGATCTTAGTTCACAACACAAGTTGTCTGCTTTGAATGACCAGGAGAAAGAAGACATGATCATTTTCAACGCTTGGAATAGTATTCCTGACTCTTACGATCAGCTGAAAAAGCTAGCGTTTGCTGTTCTTTCCCTTTTTGGTTCTACGATATATGAGAACAATCTTTTTCAAGCATGAACATTATCAAGAGTAAACTGAGAAGTCGTCTTATTGATGAGAACTTGGATTCATGCCTAAAATTAAAAGCAACAACATACAAACCTGACTTACTCAAACTTTCCAAGGAGATGCAAGCACATTGTTCGCATTAATAAATATTTATTGAGTATGAAATTTAGTTTCATTTAGTGTACTACTTATTTAGTGTAATAAAAGTTGCAGAATAAAATAATCAGATTTGGCTCCCAATTTCTTTTAAAATTGTTGTAATGTTCATATTTGGCTCCTTGGCTGATAAGTTTGCCGACCACTGGGTTAAGGTAATGTGAGCAGTGTGGCTACCGCCTGCTGATGTTGCAATTATTGCTAGATGGGGCTGTTAGATTTTTCTTGTAATGTTATTGCCTTTGTTATTGAAAATAGAAACAAAAGATTCTCAATTTTTTCAGAAAATTGGCAAATTTAATTTACTGTTACTGGTATATTTTTTATTTATTTATTTATTTTTTTTTAAATTTTTTTTTTCAAAGTATTCACTGACTTATAAAAGTTATTGGCAAAGTTTCAGTCTGAATTTGCCAAAAGAAAAGATAGAAACCATGCTAAAGAATTTTAAATATATTGTCTCAATAACCAATGAAACTCATTGAGCCTCAGTAACTGAATGTCTTTATGAGATGAGATATAAAAGTGTCTTGCAAATGGAATGTGGTTTAAAATTATTATAGAAATCTCTAAATTATTTGCCCAAGAGTTTATTTTTGTTTTATCTTTTATTTTATGAACTTCTGTTTATCAAATTTTCTTTTAAAGTTGTTTTTTTTTTCTTTCTTTGTTCTAGCGTTTTAATCCTAATATACTTTGCACTCAAATATCCAAAGACTCTGAGAAGGTAAGAAAATAATTTTTTTCAAATAAGATTGATTAATGGTATTTGTTACTACCAAGGTGCTCCCCCTCCTACTCCATACGCTCAGCAATCTCTATGATTCCTTAGCAATAATTTTTTGTTGTTTTTTGTTGTAACAACTTGTTTTTATCAAAAATAAAAAGTATGCAATTGAAAGATACTAAAATGTTTTATTATGTTAACACAAATTTAGTTTCACAGATTTTGTGCCCGATGTTTGCTTTTTTAAAAAATAAAAAGTATTCAATTGAAATTTTTCTCAGTGTTTTATCATCTTAACACACATTTGGTTGTGTAGAATTAGTTCTCAATTTAAATAGGATAAAATTTAAATCTTAATTATTTTGCTGGATTACCGTTGAAACTTTATCCTTAATTTTATTTGTTAAATTCTTGTTTAATTTTGATCACTATAAAAACTCAGCAAATACTTTTCTTTTAAGAAATCATTTAGATTAGTGCAAAGAATCTTACAAAAATAATCCATTATTTTAATGGTGTCTGTTGACTAAACAGTTTTACATAAAACTTTTTAAAAAAAAAAACAAAACAATCCCACCCTGAATTACTTTTGAACTAAAGATCGGATTTCCATATATTGAAAATCAATTCTTAATGGTTCAAGGGTGTCACCACGAATATGCTAATTAATTAGTGCAAACAATATTTTCAATTTTAATGTTGGATTCAAAAATGTACTTTCTTTAAATAAAGAGGCCTTTTTATCTACAGATTATGATTTCTGACCCCCAAAATTTAGTTCATTATCTGAGAAATATGTTTCAATAGTTTTGTGGGGAAAGCGGTTCAAAATTTGGATCGCTTAAAGTTAATTTTATTTTTTTTTGCATATTTCGAAATTTCTCAAAATCTTTCTAAGTGAATTGAAAAATTTTTGCTCATAATTTTAAAGTACTTTATCTAAAAGAAAAATTTATCACAAAAATGATGTTTAATAATTCTTATTTTTTATTATTTTGTTTAATATTACTCAGAAAAACTTTGAATTGCAAAGTATACAAATTTTAATATCATTTTAAAGAATGTAACTTTATATGACAATATAAAATTTGAATGAAATTGGTCAAATAATTCCTGAAAAAAAATGTAAAGAAAATTGATTTTCAGAAACTATTCTACTGATTTTGTTCAAATTTTGTATTTTGTCGTATAAAATTACATTTTTTAAACTGATTTAAAACTTTGTATTCCTTGCGATTCAGAATTTTTACGATTGTTATTTAATAAAAAAAAATAAAAAATGGATTATTATTAACAATAATTTTTTGTGTGGAATTATTTTTGGATAAATGAATTATATAAATGTGCTCAAAATGTTTTCAATTCGCTTAAAAATTATGTGATAATTTATAATTGAAATAAGCAAAAAATAAAATTAACATTTAGGGATTCAAACTTTGGTCCATTCTTCTGACCAATTTATTGGATCTATACTTCTGAGATTGGGCTATCCACCCCCCTTGTACGATGGGGGCAGCTTGATTATTCAGAAAAAGTACATTTTTGTGTCTGATTTTGCAACTTAAAATATGTTCTGCACTAATTAATTAGCTTATTTGACATGACGTCCTCGAACCATTAAGATTTAGTCGTAGTACTTGAAAATCCAATCATTAGATCAAAAGTTATTCAGGGTGTTTTGTTTATTTTTTTATGCACTGTACTTAGTGTTTAATAATTGGGAAATGTTCACCATTATTAATTTTTTCATTGTGAAATGTTACAAAATAAGGTAATATTAAAGGATTACTTTATAATAAAGTAACACCGGTTTTTGTTTTAAGACTGAATAATAATCAGAGTCACAAAACAGTTATAGCCGAGAAATATATTGTGGTCTAATGATAAACAAATATTACTTTAAATAAAGGATAAATTAATATTTTTTAGGTAAAATATCTTTGAGAATTTAAAAATACAGTACAGAACCCGTTATCCGGAAATCAGAAAACCGGAAAACCAAAAAACCGGAACGAAATTCGATAAATTTTCCTGCCATTTTTTTTTAAAAATGTTTTTTTCCTCATAAGATTTTTGGACTTTTCTTTCTATTTTGAAAGATGTTTACCTTACCATCATTTTGGAAATTATCATTAGTATATNGGGTGTTTTGTTTATTTTTTTATGCACTGTACTTAGTGTTTAATAATTGGGAAATGTTCACCATTATAAATTTTTTCATTGTGAAATGTTACAAAATAAGGTAATATTAAAGGATTACTTTATAATAAAGTAACACCGGTTTTTGTTTTAAGACTGAATAATAATCAGAGTCACAAAACAGTTATAGCCGAGAAATATATTGTGGTCTAATGATAAACAAATATTACTTTATATAAAGGATAAATAAATATTTTTTAGGTAAAATATAAATTTATTACTTTTACCAATTTTATATTGATGACAGCCTAAGAAATCTTTGAGAATTTAAAAATACAGTACAGAACCCGTTATCCGGAAATCAGAAAACCGGAAAACCAAAAAACCGGAACGAAATTCGATAAATTTTTCTGCCATTTTTTTTTAAAAATGTTTTTTTCCTCATAAGATTTTAGGACTTTTCTTTCTATTTTGAAAGATGTTTACCTTACCATCATTTTGGAAATAATCATTAGTATATTACTTCATCGATTTTTCCTCTTTTTAAGATTATTTCCAAATATTTTTTTCTTTTTAGTTAGGTTTAACAATAAAAAAACTGCCTTTTGTAGCGATTCAGAAAACCGGAAAAATCAGTTATCCGGAATAGCGAGAGTCCCGAACGTTCCGGATAATCGGTTCCCTACTGTACAATAATTTTGATCTATAAGAATGCACCAACAATAATAAGAAACAGTTTTAAACCAATAATAGATTTTTTTTCTTAATTATTAAATAATGTATTTTTGAACAGGTTGAACATTTCTGTTGCTGTGCTATTGGTAGCAGAGACCGTTCTCTTTCTGTTTGGGTGAGATATATTTTTTTTAAAATTTATCCTTTGATTTAATTTGAAAGTTACAACATTTATCATACTTATTTCTAATTAATATAAATAGCAAGTAATATAAAAATAACTAAATGAAAATGTTGAGTAATTTTAGTTAAAATGTATTTCATTTTTTTTCTAGGTTACATCAATGAAAAGGCCACTTGTAGTTATTCATGACTTATTTTCTAACTCTGTTCTTGATATATCATGGTAGTGTGAAGTTTCATTAGCTACATTAACTTCTTTTTGAAAATCACAATAGAGTCTCGATTATCTAAATAAATGTGAACCTAGACTAACCAATAAACTTGGTTCGAGAGAAAATTACAGATAAAATAAAATATTTAGGTTTAAATGTATATTTTAAAATACAAAATTATTTAAGTTTATATTTGAAAACAAAATTAATTAGGCTTAAATGTTTATTTTAAAATACAAAAATTATACATACACATGCACTACATCCAATTCATACTTTTATTTAGGAGTTCTTGCTTAAAATCCTTATTTGTTTCTTGTTGTATTTTGTTTAGGCATTTTTTGCTGCAATGTTTTGCCATTTTTTCAGAGATAACAGGATTGCTGGTGTCACTTCTTGTTGTTCTATATATTCAGTAGCACTTTCGATTTCTTTTACCCCAACTGTATGAAAAGTTTGCACATGATAATGGATTTCGTATTGCTGAGTGTTTAGGAGATCAAGTTCAGACTTTTTTTTTCAGTGGTTTTAAAAATAGAGAATTTAAAAAAATAAAATAAAAATATAAGTAAATCCTTGGAATATTTGATAGTTTGGTTAAAGTTGAAAATTGAAGTTCAGATAATCGAGGTTTTATTGTACTTGTACTTTTTTGTTTCATAGTTTGGTTGAAGTTATTTGATCCTCTTATATTTTTTTTTCTAATGTAAGAAATTTAAAGCAAACTATATAGTTCATATTTCCTATAATTCACAAAGTAAATGGAATTTTTTTTTAATTTTGTGACTTCTCTCAGAATTCTGTACAAATTATCTTGATTTTTTTTAATACATTTTAATTAGATTATTATTTATTTTCTAGGAAAGAAACCTTAATTTTATTTAACTCTCAATTTATTATAAAAATGCTACTTGAAAATAATTAAGTGTTGAAAATTGAATCAAAGTCTTTTAAGGTGTTAATCAGAGTAAGGTGTATTTAAAATTTAGGAATCTCCATAAATTATCCATGCAGGGCATGCATGTGTGCGTCTGTATTATCAAGTTAAGGGGTTGATCTAAAATTATTGTATTTTATAACTTATGTAGTTTATGGCTCTGAAGGGAAAATTTGATGTAAGAGTTAACATAGTTGCAAACTCACTGGTTTTAGAAATTTTTTTTGGTTAATTAGAAATTCCTAGATATTGTATATTTAAAAAAATTTCCTGAAATCAGTTATCTTTTTAAACGTATCCTACATAAATATGTTGGTACATAAATATGTATAAATATATGGTTAATTGCTTACTTATGAATTCGAATATGTATTACTTTTAAATAGTAAAGTGACTCAAACAGAATGTTATTAAAGTTAATGCTATTCCATTTGCATTAAAACAGTCAAAAGAAACATTAACATTAAAAAATCAAAAGAAAGGGGGAAAAAATTAAAATCCGGAAAATAAAAGGTATAATCTTTTTATCAGCTCACACGATTAAATCCGAAAAAAGAGTGCTTTCTAATATTGTATCAATAAAGCCAAAGCAAAATATATCAATACGGATATATTTTTGCGGATATAATAGTGTGAGCTGATGAAAAGATTAAATCTTTATTTCCGTATTTTTATAAATTTTTTTTCTGGATTTTTATTATTTTTAATATTTTTTCTTTTTCCCATTTTTCATTGTTCTGTAATTTTTTCCATGTTTTCTCTACATTTTAAACTTATTTCATGAGTTCTATTTACTTGCAGCTTATGCGCAGTAAATAAAACTTATTGTTTTTCTTAATTTTCTTTGTTTTTTTCTTTTTGTCTTTTTTGTATTTATTTATTATGATATATATGTATATAATATTTCAATAAACATAAAAAGTTTGATAATTTTTATTTAAGTAACATTTATTTAACAACTAAAATGCTTTATAATAATAAACAATATTTTTTTTAAAAATGAAAATAGGAGCCAAAATGGAAAAGAATTAATTGTTTGCTCTTGGGATGGAACAGTTGCTTACATTGGCCTCAGTGACGAAGAAATTGGAAAACCAGCTACTGAAGAAGAAAAAGTATGTTTCCTTCACTGTTCATATATTTTTTAAAAATTTATTTAAATTCTGTGATTTTATAGGTAGAAAATAATTTTTAGTAATTTTGAGTTTATTGAAAATATTTATAAGCAGTTAACTCAATCTAACACATCGTCTGATAAGTTCCAGGTCTAATGAAGCAAACACAACTTTTTTAGTAAAATTCAAATTTATTCATCAACATAGTCTCCTTTAAGAGATATACAATCACTCCATCGCCTCTCTAACATCTCTATACCTTTCTTAAAAAAAGAACAATCTTTGGCCTCAAAATAGGCGTTTGTTTCGGCAATCACTTTCTCATTCGTGCTGAATCTCTTACCCGCGAGCATTTTTTTCAAGTCTGCAAACAAGTAGAAGTCACTAAGAGCCAAATCTGGTGAATAGGGTGGATGTGGAAGTCAATTTGCGGTTTTCTATAACAATTTTGTAGACTTGTATGTTTTTTGGATTAACCACATCTTTAGGGCATCCAGAGCGTGGCTCATTTTCAAAATTTTTACCACCATGTTTAAAATCAGCAAAGCAGTCAATAATGTTCGATTTTCCTGGTGAAGAACTCGGATAACACTTATCCAGCTAAACTTTAGTTTCTATCGTGTTTTTTCCCATTAAATAACAATGTTTAATAAGAGCACGAAATTCTTTTTTATCCATTGTTTCAATAATATAAATTGGTGTTCGATTAAAATCACTGTAACTTTAAAATCAATCGGCAGATCGTTATAAAATTTTGACACCTTTTATTTGAAGGGTAGGACTTGCTAAACAAAATACTAATTCTGCATTTAGAGCGCCATCTGCATGTCAGACCGGAAACTTATCAGCCGATGTGTTAAGTCTGAGTTTTTATATCTGCTTTAAGGCGTCTTTTACTGCTTGTTATTCAATGTGAGAGTTATGTGTTGAAGAGAAAGGGGATGTTTACAAACTGTCTAAACAATCATTAACTTAGTCTTCATAAGAAAAATTTTTGAAATTTTCTTATCAAACCATAATAGGATGTGCAATATATGTTTCTTCGTGAACATATTTTAATTTAAAGGTAAAAAAAAAAAAGTATTGTGCTTGTTAGTTAAAATTTCAAATAATATTTTTACTGATACCTTTTGATTTCTTGAGTTAGTATTTAGAAAAGAGTCAAATGTATTAACATTTAATTCTAGTGATCCATATAAAATGCAAATTGTCAGATTTTTATTTCCTGAGTTGCACTTCTTCATGAAATATTTATACTTTAGTTATTCAGATTTTAATTAAACTAAAAGCTATTTTTAAATGAAATTGAAGTTTTGCTCAAACTATTGCTTTTATTATTTTCTAGCTTTTCTGAGATTTTGAAGTACATTAAAATCACATGTTCATTAAGTGAGATATTTTCTTTTAGAATCATTTACACCAGAGCTTATATGGCAAGAGTTTAGCTATGACAAACCATGCTGTATCATCAGCTTTAAGCGTTATTGAAAATCCAGAAATACTGAAGTTGCAAGAAGAAATTAAAATTAAGAAAGAGGAAGAAGATTCCAAAGAAGCTTCTATGAATTGCAGTTCCCCAAAGTCCTATTCAAACGATAACATTAGTAAGATAGATTTACAAGCATCAAACTCGCAGAGTAGTAGACCATTACCTCATATAAAAGTAAGTTACATCCCTTTTAGTAGGCTATTAAGATTGTTGTCAGTTCTTGCGATTGTATTTGAAGCATAATATATTGTGCTTTTAAGACATTAATGCAGTTTTTGCAAGTATTGTTGTGTTCTAAATTTTTAACTTATATGTTTTTCAAAGAATCAATGATCTGCTGTATAGATTTTAATTCTAAATAAACATTTGCAGTAATCCATATTAACCCATTTTAGGCCAAGCATAGAAATTTTATTAAATGTGGTATTAATTTCATTGTAATATGCTTTGTGAAAAATTATATTTTATATAAGAAATAAAATGCTGCATATAGGCACCATTCACTAAATTAATGGGCGGACCATTTTTTAAATTTTTTTTTAATTTATTGACTATCAACTTTAATCCATCTTAAAAACATATGATAAATCTCAAAAGGAATAATTATACATTTTCCAAAAATTTCATTTGTCAATAACTGTTTTATGTTAAAGAACTTGAATAGTTTTAAGATTACTCAAAAGAAAGTGTTCATTCCAATTGAATTACTAATAATTTATGGATTGTCTCAGAACCTTTGTCAACAGCAGAAAAATAAAATTAGTAAAAAATATACGTCACACTGTTAATAAAAAAATATTTATTCAAATGATACGATTGCGCACCCTTAGCCGAAAATTTGTTAAGCCTATTAAACTGTTAAAATAAGACAAACTCATGAAAGAAAAAAAAAATATAAGCAACTGTAATTTATTGGTTTCTTAACATAAGAGAGTTACACAAGAACTCAGTTTAGTGAATAAACAAATGCCAGTACAATTATTAAAAATAATTTGTTACCCGACAAGACGGAGCTTTGATGAAGTAGTAGGCAAAACCCACTGGTAAGTATCTAGAACTCCACAGTCACAGATTTGTTAAAGATTATAGCAAACCATCTATCAGACTCAAAAGTTAGCAACGTACTAACCTGTCATCTCTGGATTGGTACTTGAATCCACTATCTTAAACTCTTATATTACACGAAAAAACCAATCAAGATATATATTTTTTATTATCATAGATTGTTGTATCTTTTTTAACTTTATTTTGATGGCTTTCAGACAATAAAAAACTGTTTTTTCCTCCCATGTTATTCTAGTAAGTGTTCCCTGTTATTCTGTGGTAATGTAACAAACAGGGGAAATTCTTTGCAATTGTGTTCTTAGTTTAAACCTTTTGTAATTTTACCTTTAGATTTTTAATTCCTATTAGTTCACACTCTCTTGGTTCAAGTTTTCAATCGGCAAATAAATTCTTTTTGTACCTGTTGTAGATGACACTTCATGTCAATATAGTTTTTTCAAATATTAATTCACTAATTAAATTTAATTAATTTTAGTTTTTATATGGGAGAAAAAATTTTAATTATTTATTAAAAAGTAACTAAAATTTTTCTTTTCTTTGTTAACCTAAATAAGAATTGACTTAAATTTTTTTATATCACTTATTATGTGTTCATTTTGGCTTCCTTCAGTGATTTACTATGTGTGTCGTTAAATACTGTTGCTATGTCCGAAATCAAAGAATATGTATGGACGTAATGCATTTTCTGATATTATCTTGTGTTATGATTTACTTTAAAGTTTTTTCGTTTGTTATTATTTCATTTTTTTAATAATTGTTTATTATCTTTCTTAAGGGTCCCACTGATAAACAAATAGAAACCAGATTAGCAGATGGACGAAGAAGAATAACACCACTTTTTATCCCACCACCTCCAGATATCGGGTTTGTATATTCATGCTTTGATTTGTCCTTTCAGCTGTCCAGAGGGTTTAGATATTTGTTTGCATAATTCTAAAAATTTATTGCATAATTATTAATTTTTTAGTTATGACATACTGCATTTTAATTGTATTAATAATTTTTTTTAGAAAAATTTCAGACCATACATTTTTAACATAAAGTGTGTTTTTGAATTTTGTTTTTTAAGGTAAATATATTGCAGATAAACCACTTAAGAATTAAAATTAAGAACTAGATTATTTGTATATTATTTTTATTAATTAATTTTTTTAAATGAATTTTTTAGAATGATTAAGTTGTTGAAAAGTTCTTTTATTTTATGGATAAGTTTTCCCTTTTCTTGCAGTTTCGTTTCCTATTTTAGGATAATTTATTTATTTATTTTGTATAAGGATTAAAAATATTACGTTTTCATTATTTATTTATTTTTGCTTGTTGATAAAAAGCATTATTTTTTAGTTATTTATTCTATATAATTTAACTTAATAAGTGTGGATTGTTTATGTATGTGCCAGTTTCTTTTTAGGATTGTTTGATATTTAGTGTCAAATTTTTTTTATATATGATATGATGTTTAGTGTTTTTTTTAAAAGTTATTTTCTTTTTAAATTAGTATGGTTCAATTGAGTTTTACAATCTTATTGGTACTTATCTTTTTATCTTAGTTTTTTTTTCTATGCTAATATATTGGATTTAAGTGTTTATTCCATTTTTATTTTCAAAAATGTTCTTATAGAAATAAATTACAATTTAGCTTCACTTAAACGCAGATTTTATATATGTTTTGATAACTATTTTTTCTGCTACAACTTGTTTACGGTTCTGACAATTTATTATTTTCAATCAGTGTTAGCCTAATTTAAATCACCTGATTTTTTAAAATGTGAATAATTTATAAGTACTTTTTTTGAGTTTTGCATTTTTATTAAACGTAAATTTGTTGAATTTTTTTTTTTTTAGTTTTTGAATTTTATTTAAATTTACCTGAAAAGGGCAGGGAAAAAAATTTCTTCTTTTTGAGTATGTACCTGTTAATAATAAGTCTATAAAGTGAATTTAAATGAAAAATTACAATATGAAGGAACTGTAACAGGGTGCATGGAATTTTAAAAAGTGCTTAAAGGTGCTAATTTTTGATTTACGTTTTTTAAATGCTCTTAAAAGGGTGCTTTTTTATTTGAGGTTTGTAATAATTGCTTAATTTTCAATCTTTTATTAAGAGATTTTTTCATTGCCATGTCGATTGTCATTCTAAATTACGAAAAATGCATGAATTTTACAATTTTCTCTACAATATTTATCAGAAACTAGTTACTTTATTATGATTATGAAAATTTTTTTGAAATGTTTTTGAATTTTAATGATTTTATGTTTTTAAATTAAGAACTTTCAACGATAATTTTTTTTAATTACTGCACAGATCCTAATAATGATTTTTTTTGTTTGGAAAATGATTAAAAAATATTTTTCAAGTGCTTAAAAAGTACCTAATAGGTGCTTATTTTTTGTTGAAAAACTTGGCTACGCACTCTGTGTAATGATCACAATTATTATGAATTTTCCTATTTTGTGCCAGTAACATAGATCAAAACATGAAACTGTAAATCAAAAACTGAAATAGCATACCATCCTCTTAAATTAATTGTTGGTCCAACGGACCACTGTTAATTATAAACTCCGATTAAGTTGTAGTATAAATAGTTATTGTAAAAATATTATGGTTATAGTAAAAATAGTGTAATTCAGACTCCGCCAATTATAATACAGTAGAGAACCGATTATCCGGAACGATTGGGACCATCGCTATTCCAGATAACTGATTTTACCGGTTTTCTGAATCGTTACAAAAAGCCGTTTTTTTATTGTCAAACTCAGCTAAAATATATATATATATATTTAGAATAATTTTAAAAAACTCTTTCTCCTTTTGACAGTGTAAGGAACTAATGATTATTTCTAAAATGATGGTAAGCATCTTTAAAAAAAAAAAAAGAATTCTGAAATCTTTTAAGGAAAAAAAATATTTAAAAAAAATGGCGGGAAAATATATCGAATTTCGTTCCGTTTTTCCGGTATTCTGATTTCGGGATAAGAGGTTCTCTGTATTGTATTGTAATTTTCCTGACATCCTGATGTTCTCTTAATTCTTTTCATAAATGCTTATTTAGTTCTTATGTGATATACTAATTTCAATTTATTTATATTTAGTGAAGTTCCTCAACCCTTCAACAGTCGTGCTCCACCTACTTTCAGCTCATCATCGGAGAGTAAGAGTAAGATCATTATTGAAAAACGAGATGAATCTAACAGTCAGTCGTCTAGTCAAAATGTTGTGCACAAATCAGAAAATGGTTTACCTCTCGTTAATTCATTTGCATCAGCAACTTCATCACCAGCTTTCACATCTATTGCATCTACAACAACTGTGACAAATACTACTGTGACCTCAAGTGCCACATCTATTAAAACTTCTGTTATATCTAGTGTTGCAAATTGTGTGCCAAATACATCTAGCGTCGTGTCGAGCACGAACCAGCTTCCGACGTCAAAAGTAAGATATTTAACATGGTTTAAAACTTTTGAATTTTTCGTTTATTGGATCTGTCATCCTGAATTTTTTTTTCCAAATCAAATGTTTTAGAGAAAACCCTTCTATTACATCTTTAGAATTTTTTTTAATTTTTAAGCTTAGTATCTCAAAGTCTAACACTAACGTTGGATTTCTGGTTGCAAGGGGAAAGCTTGTTTTTTGTAAATAAAAATATTTAATTTTTTGGCAATTTTTAAAAAAAAAAAAAATTTTTTTTTTTGGTTGTAAAGAAAATATAATGCCTTTTTAGGATAATGCCATATGAATTAACAACGTAACTCACCCCTAAACAAATTATTCTTTCAAAAAATATTCAATTAAAAGATAGTGTTTTTTTAAATTTACTTTTTCTAAATAGAATTAACTTTTTTGCCCTAGTTTAAAGTAGGAAAATCATTTGCAAAGTTTCTTTTTCATATTAAGGGATATCTTAGTGAGATTTGATTGTATATGATTATATATAGTAGAATTAGGTAAATAAATTTATAAAATAATTTATAAACTTAAACTTCAAAATTGCCAAGTATATTGTATGTTAGAAATCAGTTCCTATGAGTACCTATTTGATGCCAAGACCGGAGGCAAAAGGTGCCAGTACTTTATGATACTTTTTAATAATTTCTTTTTTAATTCTTATTTGAAGGTACTATGTGCACCAAATTGAATGAAGAGTCTGAAAATATTTTGGAAAATAATTGATATTAATTTAATAAAAGCTGTGTTCAGTTTTAAATGGGGATAACTTTCAGTTTTAAGCATTCTGTGTAATAAAATTTAATCCATTGTTGTTCTCTGTCATTAATCTTATTCATAAATATACAGGGTAGCATTTTTAAAAAGTGCTTAAAGGTGCTCATTTTTGATTTACGATTTTAAAAGCCCTTAAAGGTGCTCTTTTTGTTTGGGATTTGTAAAAAGTGCTTAAATTTCTATCGATTAAAACAGGGCGTGTAGCGTTAGTAAAAAGTACATAAAGGTGCTTTTTTGGGGATTTCGTTTTCAAAAGCTTTTAAAGGTGCATTTTTCAGCTGGCGTTATTAAAAAGTGCTTTTTTTCCCGAATAATTTTTTTTTCTTCCTTCAGTGATATCTGGTGGATCCCATGCATTTCACGAAAAATGGGGTGTTTGCTACGTAATCATTCATGCGGACTTCATGTCGTACCCACGTTATGACTTGCGCATGCACACACACTTGAAACCGAAGCCCGAGTGCTCCAATTCGGATGAAGAATATCAGATCCTTATGAAATGTTTTTCTTTTTAATTTATTTTAATTTTATTATTGTTTATTTTATTTTACTTCTAACACTTTTTTGACGTAGGGGGTACGGGTACTTTTGTTCTGAGTTCAGGGTCAAGTTGAATTCACTCGATGATGTGGAAAAGTATTGATTGTTTCGTTTTACGTCTGTTTCTTTTTGGGTTTTTTTAAACGATAAAACTGTTTATAAAAAGTTTTTGTTTTTTAATGATATCACTGATGGAATACGAATTTTTTGAGTGAATTACAAAAAATGCGTGACTTTCACAATTTTCTCTGCAATATTTATCAGAAACAAGTTATTTTATCATGATTATGTAAAGTTTTAGAAAATGTTTTTGAATTTTATTGATTTTATGTTTATAAATCATGAACTTTAAAAAATAGGAAGAAGCTAATTTTTATTACTGCACAGATTCTAATTATGATTTTTTTTGGAAAGTGATTAAAAATATTTTTTGAGTTCTTAAAAAGTACTTAAAATTTGCTTATTTTTTGTTGAAAAATCTGACTAAGCACCCTGATATATCAATGTGTTTAATAAATATTGCTCATGAATACCTAAAACATTTTCTCTCATCTTGTTCTTTATTAAAAAAAACTGTTTTCCCCCCAAAACTTATTAAAATTCTGTTTACGTGGTACATTATTATTGCACACACTTGTTTTTTTGTGTAGTTGAACAATTTAAATCTTACAATTTTGTGTATCATTTTCTAAGGAAGTGTTTTTGCAGCTGTTAAAGAAGTTTTCTCTTTTTAGGAAGAGTTGTCTCCAAAACCAGATTCTACAGTTGTGCTTGACCAAACGTAAGTTTGATTTTTTACTCATTCATTAGGTTGTCAAGTTTTAAATTTGCAGAATAAATAAGACAAAATTAGTTGACAGATATAAGGAACTATTTCATTCATTAAAGTGTACAACCATATTTTCTCTACCCATTTGCCATGCAGGTTGTTCAGGCTAGTGGGGTAAAATACTGGTGGGCCAATGAATTCCTGGTAGAACAAGTTTACACCATTTTCAGAATAAAATTGTTTTCTTATATAAAAACTGTCCAAATTTCGAAAAAAGTTGCAGCTAGGTCTAGTGGGTATTTTTTCAAAATTTTTATTATTTTTATTTTCATAACTGTTGTTGAACAGCCGACCCAATTTTTTTGGTTTACGACTACTAATGTTCAACTCGGTAGCCTTGTTATTTTGAACCCAATCCAGAAGACGAGGGAACTCCTGGATCAAGTACTGTGAGAAATTTGCCTTCAAGGAGGTCTTTTTTATGGAACTAACCCGCATTTGCATTATATGGAGAGGAAAACCACAGAAACCTCCCATGTTTAGTCTGATGGCAAGGGGACTCTAACCCATGATCCATCTACCACTGTGGTCGGTGCAACCAAGTGCAGAATTTAAATCGACCAGCCATTGCTAGGATTCGAACCTTGTTAACCTCATTGGGAGGCTAGTGCTCTATCCCCTGTGACACCAAACAGTACATCGACCTGTGCATTAAAGTCTAATGCTATTTCTTCTTAAAAAATCAGCTTTGTAATTTTTTTTCGAAACTGGTTACTTTCAACTTTAATGGCAAATATAAGTAATGAGCAAGTATAAGTATAGTGACAAGTATTTTATGTATAAGAATAAGGCATAACTAAAAAATTAATAATAAAATTTATACCTCCAGATAAGAAATAAGGCAAATTTAATAATATCTGTCTGGAAAAGTTGCAGAAATTTTTTTTTCCTGCACATTTGTGTTCAGCCTGTTTTTTTATTATAGATACATACTTTATATGTAACTTCATTGTGTTCAGTTTTTTACTTGAAATTTTTCAGAAATTTTCCTCCTTTGGATAATATTTCTTATGGCTTTTTTTTCTCTTAAAAGCAACATCTAGTTTTTTAGTAAGAAGTCCTTGTAAAAATGTTTTTATTATTTTAGGGAAGAAAAACAGAGAGAAGTGGTGTCATCTACTCCAGTTTCTAAGACAAAAGAATCGTCTAAGGGCGCTATTGTAGACGCATCTCCTGTAAACTCATCTACTTCCTTGAAAAGGAAGTCAGAGGCTCCTTTACCGAGTCGACCAGAAAAGAAAAGGCCTGGTCGACCACCACTTTCTCAGTCACAGTCACAAGCTCCTAAGCCTGTAAGTTGCTTCTACTTTTTAAACTCATAGGTAGAACTATCAAGTTTTTTTTTCTGTGGAAAAACCTGTCTCGAAAGAAGTAGGGTTCTTCTTACTGAAAGGGAAGAAATTGACGAAAGCTATATATGTAACTAGCTGAAAGTATTATGAATGGAATTTAATATTTAAAATTTCTAAAACATGCATTGATGTTATAATTTTTTTATTTAAAAAAAAAAAGAAAACTCTTTTGAAATTAGAATCACTTTTATGAATACAGAGATAATTGTGCTCCAGAAAAAATCCGGATTTCCGGATTTTTCGCTAACTGCGATTCAGAAGTTTCAAGAAATCATCGCTCACCTTTATGCATAAAAATTCTTGTATATTTTATTTAAAAATATTAGAACTAGAATTTATAATTGGCATCTCTCCCATTTATCAATATTTTTTGGTAGAATAGTAAATGTGATTAAAGATATAAGTAAACTTATACATAATTATTCATTTAAATTATGTTGCATATTATTTATTTAGAATTTCAAGTTTTGAAAATATCAATGATTTAAATTTATAAAGACATTAATTTTTCGTAATGGGTCATTAATGATTTTACTCGACATTTTCAAGATTTTTGAGGTGAGCTCACAATCACCCCTGTGAATACATAATTTATTTTTGAAGTTTCCCAGTTAATTTTATGGTTTCTTAATTAAAAATAAAGACATTAATTCTGAAATATGTTGTTACATTGAGCTGCAGATATTTAGCTTGTAGCTTAAGGTTTTTTCTTATCGAAAGGGAAGAAATTGACAAAAGCTATTTATTTAATTTTCTAAGAGTATTTTAAATGGAATTTGATATTTAAAATTTCTAAAAAATGCATTAATGTCGTCATTATAATTTAAAAAAAAGAAAGAAAATGATTGAAATTTGAATTAGTTTTATGAATGCATAATTTATTTAAGTTTCCCAATTAATTTTGTAGTTTCTTAAGCGAAAATAAGGACATATTAATTGTGAAATATGTTGTTACATTAAGCTGCAAATATTTGGCTTGTAGCTTAATGTAGCTTAAGGTTTCTTGTTATCAAAAGGGAAGAAATTGACGAAAGCTATTTATTTAATTGTCTAAGAGTATTATAAATAGAATTTGATATTTAAAATTTCTAAAAAATGCATTGATGTCAGTATTATTTTTTTAAAAAAAAAAGAAAACTGTTGAAATTTGAGCTAGTTTAATGAATAAATAATTTATTTTTGAACTTTCCCTGTTTTGTGGTTTCTCAATTAAAAATAAGGATATATTAACTGTGAAATATTTTGTTACATTAAGCTACAAGTTTGTAGCTTAAGGTTTCTTCTTATTAAAAGGGAAGAAATTGACGTAAGCTATTTATTTAACTATCTGAAAGTATTAGAAATGGAATTTGATATTTGAAATTTCGAAAAAATGCATTGATGTTATTTATTATTATTTTTTAAAAGAAAACTCTATTGAAATTTGAACTACTTTATGAATACATAATTTATTTTTGAAGTTTCCCAATTTATTTTGTAGTTTATTAATTAAAAGTAAAGACATATTGATAGTGAAATATGTTGTTACATTAAGCTACAAATATTTATGTAACGTTTTGCAGGTGCCTGAAAAAGTTATAGTTCAAGAAAAAGTTTCAACTCCCGAAAAGTCAACACATTTGACTTCTGCCATACACTTACCACCATTAAAGGCAGATAAAACCCCCAATGTGTTGGTAAGCAAATGTAAAATTTTTTAATGAATCTGAGAAGTTGCTTTATAATCTAATAAAATTTTTTATTTGCTGCAGGTTTATCATGATAAAGCAAGTGGAGAACCTGTTTATTTGGAAATTGAGAACAATATTTCAGTGGGATCTGGAGCAGTGATACATAGGCTGAAGTGTTTATGTGGGAAGACCGTAAAGTGGGAAATCGCCTTAAACAGCAAGGGAACATCTGTAGCAGGAAGCGCGTAAGAATGTTCTTCTTATTAAAAAATTGGCCTCTTTTTTTTTGTTCTGCTTGGCTAGCTTTTAAAACCTGAGGGAAAAAAAATCCTATCATAAATACAGGGTCATTAGCTTGTATCTGCGCACCTGGAAAGTCATGAAAAATCATGGGAAGTCATGGATTTTGGTATTGAACAAAATTTGTCATGATTTTTACTATTTTTAAAAAAGAAAAAAAAACAAAACATGGAAATTCATGGAATTAGGTTGCTGAAAAATCTAATTTTTGAAATACAATTTACCTCCTCCTCTCCCAATTTCGTGGTGTTCCGAATATCTGAATTTGTAGCAAAATCCCCACTCACAGTCATATTTTATTAAAATATAAAATGTTTTATCTTGTTCTTTAAAAATTCTTGAAGTTCTTTAAAAAAAAAATGAAAGAAACAACATCATTTCTAGAGCGAATTATCTTTTAAACTTCTGTGATTTCAGAATTTTTTTTATCTATTTATTATTTTTATTTTATTAATTTAAAATTCTAGTTTAGACTTTTTATATTATGCTTTTAGGAAGAAATAAAACAGGTTTAAATAGCTACATATATCTGACTGTGTTTAGTTATTTGCTTGTATAATTTTTTTTTAGCTATTTTATTATTTCAACTCTTTCTTTAATCTTTTAAGTTTAAAATCAATAAATATTAAGATGCAGAACATAACAGTTTTGGTTATGCCTGTTATTTCAATTAATGTTATAATAATGCTTTTTTTTAAAAATTTATTGTTGTGTTTTTGTTGGGGAAAATAGTAACTTCGGTGAGTCATGAAAATTCTTGGAATTATTCATGAAAAGTCATGGATTTAAAAATCTAAAATGTAGCAGATGTCTTGTAAATATTTGTTCTTAAAATGGCAGTTATTCTATTTTATTCTTTCAATGTGTGTAAAAAAGTAACTATTTTTCTTCAGAATTTTGTGTAAAAAAGTTTTTTTTTTAAAGAACAAATTGTGCTATCTAATATTTTTTCTGTACCGATTCTCTAGCTTTTAAAATTTTAAAAAAGCTTCTTTAATAGCAAAAAGCTAAGGAATAATAGCTAAAGAATTTTCTTTTCAGAGTTATGCATAAGAATGTACTTTTTTTCAAACTGCTTTTCTAGCTTCTAATGCCTTAAAAAATTATGCCATGAACTTTTACATTCTTTAAATAGCAGTTAAGCATGTATGCACAAAAATTTCTTCTCAGAATTTTCCATAAGAATGTTCATTTTAGTGACATTGTGCTCTTTTTTAAACTGCCTGTATATCTTTTATGGTATAAAAAATTCTATAATTATTCGATACCGATATATGGTATATAAATATCTTTCATGAAATTTTATATTCTTAAAATAGTAGTTATAGATATTTCTTTTCTTTTGTAAACAAAGGAGAAAAAAAATTGCGTTTTTGTATTTTGTGTAAGAATATTCTTTTTTATGGATATAGCATAATCCAATAGAGTTGCCAGAGCCTCAGAAAGGTTGGACTTCTGCCTGTTGGTCCTCGGGAGGTATTTTATTTCCCTCCTACCACCCAACAGAGATCTGATGGAGGCATTCCCGTATCCGCTGCCTGGGGATGCGCCCTGTAGGGGCATTATCATTAAAAGAATATTCTTTTTAATGACATTTTGCTCTTTTTTTTGTACTGTATTGAGACTGTACTAAAGTTGTTTGCTTGCATTATATTTTTCTATCCCTGTTGAATTAACATTTTAAGTTAATGCCTTAATATTATTTAGTTGTTTATGCCTTGCAGAAAAATTATGACTGACCTATAGTTCTTTTTTAAATTTGATTTTCTTGCATAAGTTATTAATTAAAAATCAAAGAATTTCTTTATTTTTGTTTCCTAGGTCAATCTGTTGTGTTGTATGTGAAGATAAAACATTGTCTATATTTTCTCAGAATGGCAGAAGACTTTATCCTCCAATTGTGTTAACATCATTTGTCACCAGGTTATCTTGTAGCGATCAATATGTTATGGTCATTACATCAAAAGGCTATGTCTCAGTTTGGTAAGGAAATGTATATAATCGATCTTTTCTCATTAAAATATTGCCGAACAAAAATTGATTCAACTTATTTATATCATATTTGGATACTTTCATTCAAGTTTCTGATGTGTAAAATTGGTTAATATTGTCTAAAACTTAGATTGACATTGTAATGCATGTGTAGCTTTTTATAGTTTCTTTAAACATTAAATTGCTATAAATGCTGTACTAGGACATAAACACTAAAATGTAATGAACAATAATTATATTCAAGTGGAAATAATAGTTTTGATCAGAAGTCTTACATTTTTATTTTACATTCCTTTTTTTAAAATTTTCCTCTTTTAGAGCAATCTCATCTTCTCAAGAAATTTTTTCACTAAATAAAATAGAAAGTGCAATTATTTTTTTAGTTACATACATTTGAAATGTTTTACACATCTAATAGTTTTAAACTTGAAGCTTCATTATTATCTTGCCTTTTTACCTAAAGGATTGTTGGAACAAACAGATCATAATGACACAAACTTTGAAACAAGAGGTTTTGTGTTTGAATTTTGTATTCTATAGATCATTTCACATATTTGTATACTTATGAAGATGGCAGCAACATTAGCCTGGAAAAGATCAATCATAAAATGCTTTAAAGTAATTTTTATATACAAATACTTAAAATCACAAAAATCTGCGCTTAAATACATATTATTTACTGAAGAAAATGGACAAAAAGATTAAACAAATAATATAAAAATGTTAATTTTTCTTGACTAGGTAATGAAATTCCTTAGCTGCAATTGTTTACTATTAACGTGGTTTGGAGAATTGTGGTTCATAAAAACTGCGCTGTTGTATAATTATTAAGCCCATTTCCTACTATTTAGCTACTTGAAAGCAACTTTGCAATTGCCTAGATTAATGCAGGGTACGTAGCATTTTTAAAAAGTACATAAAGGTGCTTATTTTTGAATTTTGTTTTTTGAAAGCCCTTAATGCTGCTGTTTTTATTGGGTGTTTTTATAAAGTTCTGAATTTTCCCTTTTTGAAAATGAGATATTTTCTTTGCTACGTTGATTTTTGCCCACGTATTATGCAAAAGCGTGCTTTTCACATTGTACTATTGAACATTTTCACAATTCATTCAACGACAATCCATCTTGGCATACCGTTGGTCCATAGCGCATGAAAGTGTCAATCATTTTACATGTTTGATGAAATACTTGCAAGTCTGCATGTGCAACTCTGCTGCATTTTGCAAGATGGTCTGAACTTCAGGATTCATTTTTCCACCCTCTGATATCTAATCGAAAAATCTCTTGATCATTTTATAATGGTTAATATAGTTAGAAAAAGAGTTCTTTGTCAGAAACTAGTTATTTTATCATGATTATGTAAAGTCTTCGAAAATTATTTTGCATTTTGTTAGCTCTTAAAAATATTTTTTGAGTGCTTAAAAAATACTTAAAAGGTGCTTTTTTTTGTTGAAAGATTTGGCAAATGCATTCTGTTAATGTGTCCCATAATTAAAGTATGTGTAATGAAAGGCTCAACACATTTTCTTTTTAATACAGTCAATTCGCTATAACTCGAAGTACGATAACTCGAATATTACTATAACTCGATTTTTTTATGAGGNATATGCGAACAAAACCCCAATGAAAGGCTCAACACATTTTCTTTTTAATATATGTAAAATAGTCCTACAGCAAAAAGCACTCTTAAGCTGCAATAGCATAGATTATTGGAAGTTTTTGCAAAAGAATTTAGGTCCAATGCAATGGTTATTATTTATGTTGTTAATAATTTTGTTTTGATCTGTGAGCATTTTTAAAAAATTTTTTTTTGCCGTTTTAGTTGGCAAAATAAAATAATTGATTATGATTTATTTACTATGAGTCATTTGTTTATTTTTGTAAACACCCTCATGATATTTGTACTCAAAGACCTGCTGTTGAGCATTAGGCATAAATATTTGCCTGAGGTAAATAGTGCAACAAAAATTAGTGTTTAATATTTAACCTTAAACACTATGCTATGTGCTATTTAAAATAAGAACAGCAATATTTATTCATAACCGCCAATGGAATTCTCTTAATGTTTTGAAATGGCGGTTTTATTTCTGGTTGAAACCCTCAACAACTGACAGGTCAAAATTTGACAACCATTATTTTTTCTTAATCAAAAACTTGCTAATTCAAATTCTTTCTTATCACTTTGAAGCTTCAAAATTTAAAGACACAACAAAATAAGTTCATTTTGTATGGTTCAGTAAGATATTTCTAGGGAAATCTCAATATTTGCTGAAATGTTAACTCAAACTGTCTTCCTCTAAGGTTTTAAATTTCTCTTAGAGTTTTTAAAGGAAATGTCCTCAAACAACCAATTCATTATGTTTGCTTGTTCGAGCTTCCCTATCTTTTAAAGAATAAAAAAAAAGTAATTGTTAATTGTTGTCTCTTTTGAAAGGGATTGCCTGAAACTGAGTTGCTTGGTACAGAATGAATCATTGTATCCCATTATGCAAGGTATGTTTATAAAAGTATTTTCTCATTCATTTAATGTATTTTTTTTGGTGTAAAATTAATTTGTTTTCTTCAACTTTTTCAGAAGATACATCTGGTGACCTGTCTGTTAGAGGTACTGGACTTAGTGATGCTGGTGTTCCTATGGTTAGCTTGTCAAATGGAAAATCATATGTATTCAGTACAGACATGAAATCTTGGTAACAATTCACTTTTCTCTAAGTATTTTTCACTTATATCAGGGATTCTCAACCACTTTTGTGTGCCGCCAAATTTTAGAAATGATATAGTAAAATGAAGAATATAATGAATTTACCTTTATAAACTTAAGTAGAGCAAATAATACTTCTTTTAGTTGATTGCTTGCCCTTTTTATAAACAGTATAATAAGTGTATACTGTTACAAAAAATGTCCTATTTTTTTTCTTCTTTTTAATATTTATTTAGCTTACTATGAAACATTTATGTTTTCTTTTTCTGTTCTTGTCAAAACTTTGCCTTGTAGCTCTTATTAAATATTCTAAACTAACTTATATTATTTTAATCTTTTATATTATTCTTCATTTTGGCTTATATATTGTTAAAAATATTAAAGTGTCTGTTGCTTTTTAAATAAAAAATATATTGCATTTAATGGAATGAAAAAAAAAATAACTGTCTTTTTGTTTAAGATATTTACATTCACTTTCAAGCTAGTAATATTATTTTTACTGTCTAAAATAGCCACATTTTTAACCATTTTCTATTTTTTTTAGTTGCTTAAAATTATATTTATAATTGAAAATTTTCCTTTTTTTTTAATACTTATTGTTTATTTGAATTAAAATTAAATTTTTTTTTTTTTGATTCTCTAGTGCCTTAAGTAGTCTCGTAGTCCCTCAATTGTCGTGTTTGAAGAATTACTCCTCATTCTTTCATTTGGGGGAATAAATTGAAAATGGTGACAAAATTCACTAATAAAAATAAATTCTAGTTATACTTATTCAAAAACTTTTAAGTTTGGTATTTTAATAAATCGGCATTAAATGGCTGAAAAAACTTAAAATGGGTATTATAAACACTTATGACAAATATTTTTTAGTGAAAGTTTACACTAATACCTGAGTTTGCCTAAGTAAAGCATGAGATTACATTTGGCACAATTTCCAACTTTCTATACTACTGAAGAAATTAAATTTCTAAACTTTTAAGTATTTAAATTATAAAAAAAGTTCTATTTTTGTTCTAAATAGTTTCAAACACTTTTTTTATTCATGATTTTTGTAGATAGGTATTTTTAGTCTGATTGTTCTACTTTCATGCCTGCTAAACACATTTGAACAATAAAAAACTTTTAATGTAGGAAATTTTCAATTCAGTGCTTTTTGACACGAAGCTTTAAAGTCAACAAAATCCAAAATAAATAAGTAAATAATTAAAATAAAATAATTTTTCTCTTTTATTTGCATAGGTTACTTGTAAGTAGTTCAAATAACATGATTCAACTTTGTTCTGAACACCAGCTGAGGTTTTCTCCTCAAGAATTGTCTAATGGTCGAATATTACCCTTAGCTGCTCTTCAAGGACAGAATCAGAGGTATTTTATATTTTATTATAAATTAAAATAATAGCTAATTTTGCATGCTCATTTATTTGCTTTTAAATTATCTTACAATATATAAAAATCTAATGGTGGTGTCGCAGTTTTCCATTGTCGTGCGTGCAATGTTATTGGTTGGAAAATCACGCGGCAGGATCTGGTTTTTTCTCATTCATTTCCATATTGTTTTGGTTGTCATCAGCATAATTTAATAAAAGTCATAAAGGTATTCTATAAATATTTTTGTATCCCTCATTTAGAGTTATTTTCCTGTACTGCTATTATTATGCTTTTAGTTCAAGAGTTTAAAACTAAGAAGATTATTGTTTTTTTTATTATTATTATTATACTGTAATTCTGCACTACATTTTAAGATAGTTATTCAGAAAGGTGGTCTAATCTTATTAACCGTTTTACGATTATTAATTTTGTGCAATTAACATTAATTAACCGTTATAAATTACAGTTAAAGAAATTTATTAAATGATTTAGAACTTAACGACCAGCTTCATGCACTCTGAGATGCAAGCAAAAATAGTATTTAATATATCCGCCCGTTTGGTAAGCGATTATATTAAATTCAGACTGTGAACTCATCAAATTTGTTTGAACAATATTGTTGTTAATATGCGAACAAAACCCCATTTTCCCTCTCTCTCTCTCTCAGATAAGTTGCGCGAGCTGCGTAGGTTAGTGTAACGACTCCCTGATAGGGGATCCGTATATAGTAGTTGAAGTAGCTGCTTGAGAGGTGGTTCGCTCATTCGGTCGCATCGCCAAACGAACGAAATATTAAAAAACGGTTACATTAACCGTGTATTTTTATTGGCCAGAAAATTACAGGGTAGGATCTAGTTTTTCCTCATTCATTTCTATATTTTGGTTGTCATCAGCATAAAATTTATAAAAGTCATAAAGGTATTCACGAATGCAACGGCCTATAGGGGCGTTGTTATTTGAGGAGAGTGACTGCTAGCAGAACATGATCATCAGTTGCACTGGAGATTTCTTCAGAGTAACATGGTAACACTCTTTCTTTATTGTGGCTTATTAGATTTAAAAAAGAAAACTGTTTGATATTCTTTCTTATGCAAGTGAAAATAAATTGGAATCTCTCTTGCTCTCTCTTTTCTTTCTTTTTCTTCTTTTTTTTATTAAAATGCCTTTGAAATCGCTCTACTAAATTTAATGATCTAATATGAAGATCTATTTAAACTTTGTATTCCGTACGTTTCTGAATCATAGAAAAGTATACACAGACACACAATATTATGTCATTTAATTTTGCAAAAAAAAGTTTTTTGACAAAAATTTTTATCAAAAAATTTAAAGTTTTAATAAAAAATAATTATTTATAAACTAAAAAACATAAGATAAAGAATTTACAATAAAAGAAAAAAAATCAATTCTAAAAATTCCTCACATTGAAATAAGAAGTTTTCATATTGTTTTTTTTTATACTTAAAGTTATAAATCAGACGTAGAAAATCATTCTGTCAAAAACTACCGTCAAATTACAAAAGAAATTTTTAGAATTAAATTTTTTATTATAAAAATCGTAACACTTACCTGATTTATCAATCTGGATAATTCCAAAATGAAATGTTTTTTGTTTGAAAATTTTATTTTCAAATAATATATACATAGATTATCCCTTCTTTAATTTAAGATGACATACCACACAATAAAATTTTGTAATTGTCTTGATATGAATTTCAATATGTAACTTAAAAACAGAATAGCTGAATTCCAGTTAAAATCAATCATCTATAATTATTTCAATTTTACTGTCTTAAAAATGTCTGCTTTAAATGATTGATTTGTGTTGTTTAATAGCAAAGCAATGCACCTGGCACGGGGCATTATGAGCAGTGATCCAAATATGAGGCAACTTGGAACAATCAGTCACTTAGACAGTCAACTAGCTGCTTCACTCAGTTTAAAGTCCAGCAAAGAGTACAAGTTCTGGTTGCTTTCTCTAGTCCGATATCTAGTACAAGAAGGTAATACTCATGTTTGTTTATGCTATCACATGTCATATTTGTCTTAAAGTGTGTAATCTAAGTAAATGTAATAAAAAATAGATTTTGATTTAAATTGGCTCTTAAACAAAATATTAGTGGTCTAAGAATTGGACTTATTCCCCGTGGCAGAATTTGATTTTTCTATTTTCATTTGAGAATAATCAAAAACAAAGAGTAATGAAGTAAAAAAATTTTTTTTCCTTATGTGCAGAAATTTCCACTCTACATGCAGTTATTACTATCGATTTCCACATAGTTTTTGAAATCCTATATTTTTAATACCATGTTATTTATTACAACAACTGAATATCGAAATGAAATTTTGTGTAATTTTATACAAAATGCGAAAAAAGGAAATAATTAGTGTGTTTCCCCCCACAAAATTTCGAGAATATCGGCTATAATATTAGAATTGCATATTATATTGCATATTCAATTTAAAAAAAATTTCTTTTTTTTTATCCTGAATATTTTTTTTTATTTTGACGCTTTAGTTACTTTAAATTAGTAACTTTTATGTTTGTTATTATTAAAAGTATTGTGCAGAAAGATGTTGGTACTAGAGAGGTATGTCGCAAAAAGCCCGAAAACATTCTACCACAGGGTACTTATTATGCTATGGTCAATTATCACATTATTTTCAAATTAATTTTTTAAAGCTGTCACACGTTAATGTGAAAGGGTACACTGTATGAAATTTTTAAATATTGCCACAGTTTAAAAAGTTATATAAAATAATTTTTAAACTGAAGAATAATATAATTTTGATAAGCCTTACATAACTGCCAACAGTTTTAATTTTTATAAAAATGTTTCTACTTGTTGTAGTAAAATAACAAATGCATTCATCATCAGGCCATATTTTATTTTTTTTTAACTTAAAGTTGGCACTTAAAACAATATAAAAAAAAAATCAGATCTTGAATGTATTTGTTTTAATTAATAAATGTAATGGTGTTGAATAAATTTAAACGACATTAATTAAATCATATATAAAATATCAAAGCATACATTTTACTACCATTAAAAGCATGTAAATAAAATATCCTAAGGAAATGGAAAGAATTGGCTGCTATAGTTTTAATTTAAATAATAATTTGTAAAATCAAAAATGGAAGAGAGTTTTTTGAGCAAAATGATTGAACAGTTGGCACTGTTCACTGAACTGTTTTTTGCTAGAAATTTTTGATTTTTAATAAAATAAAATGAAGTATGATACTTTTTAGATAATAAATCAAATATTTAGCGAATATAAATAAAAACTAAATTTTTATTCGAGCTTAATTTTGATGATTTCTATAATTACTGCTGTCTTACCGTCCAATAGTGTCCTTTATCGCCAAAGGGAAATTTCACTCTTATATTATTTAGTTCATCTCAAAGGAATTTAAATGTGGAATTAAAAATAAATTTACTATTTTCTGAAAATGTTTTTGCTGTTTCACTCATTTTTCCTATTGTTTTTGTCACTAGTTATAATTTGTACAGATGGAATTTCGCATTCAATATTTCATTCATTCATTAAGCTACTTACCTATTAAAATTTTATACAGTTATTTGTTTTAATGACAGTGCATTATCAAACCATTCATAGAAATTAAAGTTTTTAAAAATATTTCCTGATTATAGTAAAGTGTTTAAAAAAATCGAGTTAAATTTTTCTAAAGTTATATGAAATAGATGATGAAATAGAAGGGTACCTCATTTCTTTACTTTATTTACTTCAACATGCAATGTAAACCTCAAATAGAGTTAGCATTGTGGTTAGTATAAGAGCAATGTAAAACATCTCTGTTATTATTATTCTGTTTTTGTAGAAAAAAGGGGAAATTGTACTACATTTTAACAATAGGGAAAATAAACTTATTTACACATTTTTTTCCATCATGTTATACTATCTGCGTAAGATTGTAATATTTTGATTGATTAAAGCAAAAACTTGTTTAAATACAAATTGTTAGAGTTAATAAGTTTGCTTTTCATTCATATAACAACTTACTTAAGTTATACTTTTCAATAATTATTTTGTATTGGTGCATTGACGTTATGATAATAAATAGAGAATGCTAAGAAAATAAAATACGTGTCGTTTGAATGAAACATTATTTTATTAAATTTGAGATTTAAATATCAATCTGTGATTTAAACATTGTTATATATTTTTTTCTTGTGCATTAATAAAATATTAATTTTATTAATGCACAAGGTATCTAGATTACAAAGGTATCTAGAATATATTTACTTAAAAATTAAACAAATCTGAAAAAAAGAGTTAATTTAAAAGCGTATGCAACTAAATTTGTAATTAAAAATTTTTTTTTTTCCTCCTGTAGGCTTGGAAGCCCGACTGAGAGATGTTTGTGATGGTCTTTTAGGCCCAGTCATAAAAACAGCCAAAAATTCTGATTGGAAACCTAATATTTTGGTATGTCCTTCTTGAGCATTAATTCAACCTATCATTTAAGCATAAATTAAAAAAGTGTATTTGCATTCATTGTTAAAGCTACAGGGTATCTGCTCACCTGGAAAGTCATGAATTTCGGTATTGAACAAAATTGGTCATGAAATGTCATGATTTTAATTATTTTTTAAAAAAAATCATAGAAAGTCATGGATTTAGGTCGCCGAAAAATTTTATTTTTAAAATGGAATCCCCCCCCCCCCAATTATTTCATGGTGTTCCCAATATCTAAATTTGTAAAAAAATCCCCTCTCAGAGTCATATTTTATTAAAATATAAAAAGTTTTTTTTATGTTCTTTATTAATTATGGTGTTCTTTCAAGAAATGAAAGAATAAACATTTCTAAAGCAAAGTATCTTTTAAACTTCTGTGATTTCAGAATTATTATTATTATTTATAAATTTTTATTTTATCAATTTGAAATTCTAACTGAAGCAAGCCAGTAAATTTTTTTAAATTCCGAAATGAGAACAGAAAAATCAGGAGTATTTCTTTCCTTTCCTATGAACAAGAAAAGTATCTTTAGAATATAACTCTGCAGAAAAAAATTTATTTGCTTTTGTATTTTTTTCAGCATTATTTGCTTTTGTAATTTTGTATTTTTATTGGTTCAACTCTTTCTTTACTCTGCTTTTTAAATTTGAAATCAGTAAATGTGAAGATGCAGAGTATAACAGTTTTGTTTATACCTATCATTTTAATTAGTGTTATTATAATGCTTTTTAAATTTCTTGTTCTGTTTGTGTCGGAGAAAATAGTAACTTCGTCAAGTCCTGAAAAGTTCTTGAAATTAGTCATGGAAAGTCATGAATTTGAAAATCTAAAACATAGCAGAGACCCTGAAACTACTTAATCTACTGAGTCAGTCATCGATAACAGACTGGGTAAAATATGATATGAAATTAAAAAAGGAAAAAAATGCAATGTTTTAATTAAGTTAAAAAAATTATTTAAAATTTACTTAATTTTTATTTATTGCAAATTAAATTTTTATGTATTTCCATCTGTTAGTAGTGCTCATCACATTGCTATAGTACCATCCAAGTGCTTCTTTACAGCATAGGTGCAGGGTGCATAGCTTTATTAAAAAGTGCTTAAAGGTGCTTATTTTTGATTTACGTTTTTTTAAAAGCCGTTAAAGGTACTTTTTTTATTCGGGGTTTGTAAAAAGTGTTTAATTTTCTTTCTTTTAAAGAGATTTTTTTTCCGCCGTGTCGATGGTCGTTCTAAATTACAAAAAATGCCTGATTTTCGCAATTTTCTTCTGCAATATTTATTAGAAACTAGTTATTTTATCATGATTATGTAAAGTTTTTTGATAATGTTTTTGAATTTTATTGTTTTTATTTTTATAAATTAGGAACTTTAAACTATAGAAAAAAATAATTTTTATTACTACACAGATCCTAATTATGATTTTTTTTGGAAAGAGATTAAAAATATTTTTTGAGTTCTTAAAAAGTACTTAAAAGGTGCTTATTTTTTTGTGGAAAAATCTGGCTACGCACCTTGAGGTGGCTTGATGGAGATTTCTTTAAAAATACACGTGGCGTTCGTCATGTTAACTATGAATTATAACTGTTCTTTTAGTTTGCAAAACTTTCTTCGAGTGAGAAAACTAACATTTTAGCAAACAATTAATTGTTAATTTGACTTGGCAGAGATGACAAGTATAGTTATCATAGTTAAGTTCTAATTAATTAAAAAAATATTTAAACATTTGAGGTAAATTCTTAAAGAAAATTACAAAAAAGAAAAAAAACCCCAATACTATTTAGATTTTGCTAGATAAAGATACCATTCGGATAACTCCATGTTAAGTTTAGGAGGAATTTTTTGTTTTCTTTCTTTTCGGTAAGTTCCGACTCTCAGACAAACTCAGATAAAAATGTCATTAGTTAGATGCAGGGACTCTATAGTTTGTCTACGGTAAGAACCCCCCCCCTTGCCACAAAGTCTGAGGCCGTCTGCTGCTATGGAAACAAGAATAGCTCTTTTCAGGGAGGGTAGCGTCTCTTCACTCTAGGGCAAACACAATGGACCGTAGGAAAAGATTCCCTTTCTCTCGCTAACTGGAACCAAAACCTGTCCTAAAGAGTGACCCCACCCCCCTACTTGAAATAATTATTTCTCGTTACCATAATCACCGCCACAGGTCCAGACAAATGGCCAGGGGAGTTCTTACTTTAGACAAACTAAACCTGGCTGCACTAAATATCAGTGCAATGACCTTGATGCGAGGGAATGGTACCACATGCTTTTTAATACTTATTATTGTTCATTTAATTTTAAATTATATATAAAAAAATTGTTTTTGATTTTTTTTTTTTTAAAATGACATTCTATTTAATGCAATATATTTTTAGCCGGGATTCATTTAGTAGCTAGAGTTTTCTGTAGTTGTTTTAATTTATATGTTTTATCTCTTAGGAACTACAAAAGAGGGATCTTCTGAAGGAAGTGTTGCTGATTATGGGTTCAAATCTAAGATTTCAAAGGCTATTTATTGAGTATAGAGATCAGCTAGAAGGCTTAAAAACATAAATGAAACCTACACATATGAAATGAAAATATAAACATTCCTTCAGTCATGATTCCTGTGGTATCCTTGTACTGCCATCTAAATTCAGACCACAGCGAAGAAGCTCAATTATTCTTGATCGTAGATTAAAACGTGTCTATGTGATGTTTTTATGAATATGTATTTAACCAAAACTTGACTCCAATATGAGTAATCCATGAGCTAATTAGTTAGATACTGGTAACACATTAATAATTAAAATTCTGCCTGAATATTGAATTACTTTGCAATTCAGTAAAACCCTAAAAATTCAGAAATGTTAAAAAAAATATTTTGTTCAACTCACGAGGAGAATAAAATGAGCAAAACCAATTTTATACCAGAGACAGGATGTGAAAATTTGGATGCAGTAAAAATGTAGTATTAAAAAAATCTATTGGAAATACTAAGCGATTACTCGACCATGTGGTTTTATGATGAAATCTCGGCGAATGGAAGGTTGCTTTAAAAAGCAAAAACTGAAATGCATGATTCAAATTGGGCGTACTGTATTATCGTATTAAAATGTACAGATTTAAAAACAAACCACGTGGAAATTTGTAAAATACTGCCAGGAATTGGGATGAAATTGCGCATATTTCTCTTTAAAATTGTGCCACTGATATCTCCTTTGGCGTAAGAGGACACAATACCACGGAAGAAACCTTTCATCGCAAATTCTCTTTTACTTTCATTACTAATTCAAAATTAAAAGTATAAACAAAGTGAGTTCAGACACACCTGGAGTAAGTAATGAATTTTCATTTGCTGAAAAAAAAAATTCAAATCATCATAATGTGGACAAAGTATTGGAAGAAAACTTCCTCATTGCGTAATCCTAAGTTATCGTAATTTATATTCGTTTCAATATTTTAAAAATTTCTTTTCAATATTGTAAACTTCATGGCTTACTCTACGTTTGTCCGCACTCACTTTTTTAAACTTTTAATTCTAAATTAGTTATAGAGGCGAAAGAGAATTTGCAATGAAATATTTCTCCCATGGTATGGCGTCCTCATAAGTTAAGTATCAAACAGCTAGGATTTTCCAAAGTCTGAACAAACCTCTGGCAGTCTTCAGTTTTCATCATTACGCTGTATCAAAGTAAAATTATTTCAGGTGGATCTATTAATTAGTGCCATATAAAACTTCCTTTAATAATTTAAATCATTTTCGTAGCTCATGAGATTTACTACAGTGTCAGTGAGATATAAAGATATCAGCTTTCATTTGTAATATATGTGTATTGTTCATGTAAATAATTCCATTTTAATTTTATAGATTTTTTTTTTTACAATGTGTTTTTAGACTTGCAAAAATCTTTCCTGTAGTAAATTGTTTTTCAATGAATTGTGATGAGTTTTATTTGAATGAAATGAAATGAAACAAAAAAAGGTGATATTTTGTACATAATCTAAAAATAATAAAAAAAAATGTATTTGGAAGTGCATTATCATTGTTTTGTCAATAGAATTTTTAACCCTTAAAAAGTGTCTGCCAAACTGCTTTTTATTACTTTGATTCATATTTTTCTGACTGCATTCAGATCAATTTTTTTTTCAAGTCTTTTTGTTGCTTAGGTTCTCTAATGTCATAATGTAGTTTTTTTGTTTTTGTTTTTATTAAAAGTGAAAATTTTTAGTATTTTTACAAATTCCCTTTTTAAAAAAGGTCTAAAACTGGTGCCTTGACTGGATAATTGTTTTTCTTATCTTTAACGACAATAAGAAAGTAATAATCTAATAATAATAATAATCTAATAATTAAAAATAAAATAATAATAATAAATAAAATAATAATAATAATCTAATAATAAGTAATAATCAAATAATAGTAGTAATGATACCTGCTCTATTTGTTTCATGTGCTGTACTCCTGTCTTAGAATGACTATATTGTTGCAGGTTATTGAAAATCACAATTTGCATCTTATGAATTGGTTCCTTGCTCATTCTAATTCTTTTAGAGTAACAATTTGTCAGGTTTTTTTAATTTGATTATTATCATTTCCTTTAAAATCAGGAAGAAAAAAAATTATACCATCAGAATTTCTGCGACAATTCTCTTAAATTACTCAAATTTTTGTACATGACTGATATTTGCACCTATCAGTAAAATTATTTTAAATATAAATTTTTATTTCATAACATTTATAATTGTTTTTATCACAATTTTGTATTATATTTTTGTTATTATAGATTTCTTTATCTCAATATTTAGTTTTTTTCTGCCTTAATGTGTTGTTTATCTTGGATATTAATAGAATTGTTATTGCAAATCTTTTATGTAGTATAACTTCATTAATATGATAAACCAAAATTATGGAAACAGAATGAAAAACACCTTTATGTATAAAATTATTTTTTTAATGTAGTTGTAAATTTTCTTTTATATTTGTTTGTTGCTGTTACGTACTTCTTTAGTCAGTACTTAATTAAACGAATATGTAAAAAAAAAAAAGTCTGAATGCTACTGTCAGAATTTCTATGAAACAAAGTAAAAATTAATCTATGCAATTATTTGGTTACACTATTCGTGTAGTCAGTATTACAGAATATGTATGTAAACGACAGAGATGAAACTACATAAGGTTCCTATATATATATATCTATATATCTATGCATATTAAATTCCATATGAAAATTTATTGCAGAAAAAATTAAACTATGAATTACACTAATAATTTTTTTGTTGTTGTTCATTTGGTTAGCTTTAATAGATTTTATTTAAAGTATTATTAGTAATTATAAGGAAATAAATCTTTGACTCATTATTTTGGTGTACTTAATCACAATTTATCTAAATTCAAATTAATGAAAAAGTTTTTTTTAAAAATTTATTTTTTAAGTGCTATTACAGCAACTTAAAAAAATCCTTGATAACTAGAAATTTTTTTGCAAAAATGTATCCTGATTTATTAATTTTCTTAAAGTTTATTATTTTTTTTAGAATGTTGATTTTGGTTTTAGTAATTAAACTTCATTTCCTAATTAAATTTTTTTAAAGTTCTAAATAATTCTATTTTATTCCAGATTTTTTTTTTTGTTTTAATTCACATAATAATCTGTTTGTCATTTCTTATTGTAAATAACTTGTTTGGTAAATTGTAATAGTTTTATAATAATCTTTTTTTAAAGTACTGAACCAAATGTATGAGTTCGATTTGCATTTCTGCTGGCAAATTGACTCGACTTAGAACAGTTTAATACCTATGTATTTCCAATGACAAAATCACTTTCATGCTCATTTTGACGGAAGTTTTGCTTAAACTATTGTGTTAATAAAATAACTGTGTTGTATTAATATTTATAACTTTCTATGTCAATTGTTTTGTTAATATTGTTATTAATATTTTTAAAAATAGGAAGTCTCACTGCATGTTTTTATGTTGGAGTTATGCTAATTTTAAGAATAGTGTGGTGTTCTTTTATTTATTATAAAAATAGTGATGAAAATTTATTGTAGAAATGGTTAAATTACATAAAAAATAATAATAAAATAATAATAATTTAAAATAATAATAAAATAATAATTTAAATTAATAATGAAATAAGCATTTAAAATTTTTTTTTGGAAGGCTGTTGTCCTTTAATGTTTAAGTAAACCCATATTTGTGTTTAAGTTAGCATTAATATTGTTAACAGAATTTTAAAATTAAAAAATAATATTAAAACTGCATCATTTATAAACTTGTATTTTAATTCTGACTTAAAAGTAAATTATAGTTTTGTAGTAAAATAAAACAGTTCAAAACACCTTTTGAGTAACAAATTCTTTTATAATAATTACTGTAGAATGTGATTTGTGTAGAAAGCAAAAGCTATTTTTACCACGAAATTAAAAAAAAAAAAAGTTTTCATGTGCTTTAGTATCAAGTATAGCTCTCAACCCTAGTGCATTATGCTAGTTGAAGAAGTACAAAGAAGTTATTAGAAAACTTAATTTTTGCAAGAGTAATGAGTTTTTTCCTTTCTTGAAAAATCCATGAATTTCTTAACTAAATTGCCAGTAAAAATGAATTTGCAATGAAAAGCAATACAATAAAATGAAATATGTATAACTAGTTTACTTCTAGTTGTACTCAAGAGTTCTCCCTAGAAATGAAAAGGGCGAGGCACTTCCACTCTGTGCACTTAACACCATAAAAATTTATGGAAATATTATGTAATAACTGAATTTTATATGCAATAATTTTTAAATTACGCTCTTATACTATTTTATGTGTATATTTCAAAAAGCAATTATCTCATTATCAAAAGAAGAAAAAAATTTGTAGTTTATATAGTTATTTGTAGTAAAATAATTAAAAGGCAATCTCTGTGCATATTTTTTATTTTTTAAAAGTAAGCTAATAAAAAATGATAATTGATAAATAATGTATAGTTTGAACTGAAAATTATGAGAAAATGAACACAAGGTGCATTGTTTTTTTTTTAATTTTTAAAAAGGTATTTATTTAAATAGTTTTAAAATTTAAAATCACTTTAAAATTTATTTATATTCTCCCGTAAAAAGATACTAAATAATCCTAACAAGGTAAATATTTGTAATAGTATTTAGAATTAAACCTATAAGCTCAGATAATTTTACCAGTGTGTAAAATTATTATTAAACAATTGCTGGGAGAAGGGCAGAATGGGGAAGGCCCAGGCTCACAAAGGGCTGTCGTGCCAATGCTGATGAAAATTATTATTTTAACAGTGAATAAATTTTTTTTCAAAATAGTATGATTTATGAAAATTCTTTTCATGTTCGTATCTATGATATTAATTGATAGTGTGTTTTTGGCTTGTTTAAGTATCCTAGTTATTTGTTAAACTGCGCAGATGATTTTTTATTTACAACTTAGTTTGTTTTTATAAATGTGTATAATGATAACTTCAAAGTTAGGACGTTTTATCTGCTTTTTTGCAAGTTCGACAGCATGCTTGTATATTGCATTTTAAGTATGACTAAGTTACTAGCTATTTAATGAATTAAATTTTAAAATGTTTTTTTCAAATTTTTTTTTCTTATTTAAGGCAAATTTCATTTGGCCTTTTTTTTAAAATGAGGATCCATTTTCAGGAATGCAATTGTACTAAATAATTTCTGTAATTTCTATGAATTTTGGCTGTATAAAGCTTTTGTTAACTGCACCAATGTTCCAATTCTCTTTATTTTCCAACAATTAAAATGAAATTCCTTCCCCAATTTTAGATACTTTTTTCAAATTTAAGCACAAAAGTTGTGTGAACAACCTTAATTGTTTTTAAATTTAATATCAATTGTTTTCATATTTAAAATGAACTCTTTCTGTTAAATTTAATACAACTCAATGTATTCAAAGTTTTTTTTTTATCTTTTTGAAAATATTTAATGTTTGGAATATCAATTTTATTTTAGCGTTAATAGAGAAGTGTGAACTGAATGTATTTTGCTTTTTAATATCATTACAAAACTTTCTTTAAAAATTTATCTGCATTTTGACAACTTTGTGGGTGCCGAAAGATTTTGTTAGTTTTCAGCATTTTTATTTTTGCTGTTAAAAAGTTTCTTTTTGTGAACTAATTTTAATTTGAATGCTAAAATTTTTTTTCACATTTAACCATTTATAATAAGCAATAAATTATTTGATTAAAATCCTTTACTGTGTGGTGTAAAAAAAACTATTAGTAATAATTTTGATTAAATGCAATATTGTCTTTGAAATTATCTTTTATTTTTTATTAAAATTGTTTTTGTTTTTTTAAAAGGTGACTTATGATGACTTTATTTGACTTTAGTAGCCTAATGTATTTATTACTGACATCTTCAGTATGCAGCATGGGAATTTTTTTTTGTTGTGATATCGAATTCCTCATTGTAATATAGTCAATTTATGTTTGTGCTATGTTTTAAAATTTTTTTTTAATTTAAAATAAAATTCACTTTTTTTTGTGTGTCAATTATCTTGAAATTGAAGGGCCAAATCATTGTAAATTATTACATTCATGTTTGCATTTTATAAATATTTTATAAATTTTGAATCATAATCATATGTGTTACCCTGTAATTTAAACACTTCTCTCTAAGAGGTACAATAATCTGTACAATAAAGTACTCTTCAGCAATGGTGTGATTTCTTGAATTTTTTTTTTGATATTCATATTGAAATTAAATGTACGGAATGGTTTTAGTTTAGGTAACCCTGCATAGACAAACATGGTGTCCTTAACTCGGCCAGGCGATATATTATAATATACTGTACTATCATACCAAAGGAAATAACTATAGACAAATTCGGGTCCCACAATATGGTACAATATGTAAGTATGTATGTTTATAATTCTAAATGTGCATAATAGCGTTATAAGTAAAAAATTGTTTCTTATATACTGTATATATAAATGGCCCCATATCTCTACTTAATATTAACATATTATTTTCAAATTCGTTCAGATATTATATTATAATATGTTATGCTACCATACCAAAGGAAATAATTATAAACAAATGACGAGAACTCACAATGTTGCATAATATGTAAGTATGCATGTATATATTCTTAAGTGTGTTTAATAGCGTTAAAATTAACAAATTGTTGCTTATATATTCGTTTTTGGAAAAGAAGAAACTATATGACGTAGCAAAAGCTTTGGATTTGGTTGGACTTCTAAAAATTGCACGTTTTATCCTGACTTATCCTTAACAAATCAAATGCAAGATACTTTCGTTTCCTTGCAAAAGAAAATCGTCTGCAAGAGACAATATTTATTATTCTTTCACCAGTCTTTCTTATGAGACTGTAAAGTATTTAAATATGATGCAACTCTCTAATTTTAGGGAAACAAAACAATAGTTTTTATTCAATAAGTTTTTGTTCCTCATTTCACACAATTTAAGAAAGCAAGCAAAAAGAAAATAGTGCAACGATTGTGTTGTTGGCGATGTTGAAGTACATTGTACATGCACTGAAAAGCAAACGATTTCTCTTCATAGGACGAATGTTTTGTTTTCTTCTTAACTGATTATAGTGATTTTTATTTTATACAAAAGCATGTTAAAATACTTAATGAAACCGCAGTTCTTTACTCACCAAACCTTTATTTCTCAGGACTTCAGTTTTTGGAAGTTTTCCTTTCATTCATTCATTTATCGAATATTACGGATTAAATTTTGAGGAAGACAAAGGCAACATTTTACATAGAATTGGAAAGAAATTCTTCAATTTATGACATACTTCGAAAGAATTTTATTTCAGAAGAAAAGAATGATAATGAAGAAGCTGAAAAGATAGTGCAATTGAAAGGTTTTGGACTATTCTTCTATTATATGCCAGTAGTTAATGTGCTCATTACCTTAGCTAATCTGCAGATTTCCACCGTTAAAGTCAGGAATCAAGAGTTTTTCGCATTCTACCTAAGTAATGTGAGTATTATTCAAGTTGCAAAGCTTGATTTTTTTTCATTTCTTTGTAATAGTATTCTCATTTTATTATT